TTTGAAGAAACCACGTTGAATTCGGGCCCGGTCTTTCGCCCAATCTCTTTCCAAATGGCCTTTGCCAGCACCTATGGTTCATAAAGTCTGGGAATTCACATAGGGGGCACGACGTCATATATGTCAGACCCGGACGTGGAGAGTGATTTTACAGTCATTTCATATATGATTACTTACGACATGAAGTCTAAGCAATTAGTATCCTCTGACTTGAGCGCTACAATACCGCCGTCTGGAAGCTTGAATAATGGACGGGCAGAATATGTCCCTCAATTCGGTCCCAACGCCTTGGTCTTTCTTTTAGGAGGGACCGCATTTGACAAAAGTTTGCAGGCCGATCATCTGCTAGACTTCGGAAACATAACCTTTTTCGACCCGAAAACTAGGCAATTGATGTGGCAAGCCACAAGCGGTGATATCCCTCGGCCTCGACAAACGGTCTGTATGGTCGGTGTTGTTGGGTCGGCTGGGACATATAAATTGTGAGTTTGTCTAACAAAAACCCATAGTAACCCAGACCCAATTACTGCCTCCACTCATTTATCGTGCTCGCTCTCTTCTCCTTTCATATCTCCTTCATCCACAATAACTCACTTACAACCTAACCAAAATCCAGGTTCGTCTTCGGAGGCGCCGACTAAACCTCCTCGAAATCCTACGACGATCTCTACGTTCTAAGTCTCCCCGGCTTCGTCTGGTTCCAAGCCGCCGAGCGCTCAGTCGAGACCCGCGCCAACGCTGCCTGCGCGCTGATAGGAAACCATCAAATGCTGGTCGTAGGCGGCCACGACTTTACCTCGGGTCCAGCCAACCGGTACTGGCAGATGCAGGATCCATTCCCGCAAGGACTCGGTCTCTTCAACATGACAGCCATGAGCTGGGTTAAAGATTACACCTACCACGCCGATGCACAGGCCTATAAGTCTCCTCAGGTGGTGGAGGACTGGTACAAAGGGAGAGATCTCTCTTATATACCGTGGTCGTCTAACAACGTGAAAGATATATTTCTGGCGAAGCCTGTCTTGTTCGATAACTCGAATTCGAACTCAACGGCGTCTGTTGGTCCTACCACGACAACTACTTCTGGCAACAACAAAGTGGGCCGAATAGTCGGTGGCACGGTAAGAGCTTTTGTTGGCACGGCAATCCTCCTATCATTGATCTACTACGTTTGGATTAGGAAACCGACACCGTCATCGCTCATGGATCCGGGATCTCATAAGGGTACACTATCATCCAACAACACCAAAACCGAGCTTTCGACGGAGCTGCTGGTGACAGAGATGCCCGTATCGCTGCCGGAACTTGCAAGCCGCGAGCAGACATGCGAGCTTGACACACAAAAGAGAATCTATGAACTCAACGTTACAAGCCGCACCTGCGAGCTTGATGCGCCGAATCGCACTTGTGCTATCAATGTGACGAGTCAGATCGGCAACCCATAAACAACAGGTGCGGCGACGTCCGGGGAGAGTTAAGAGTTCATTGGAGCGTTTTCAAGATGGGGGTGAGACTCTATGCCCTTCACCGTGGAAGTAGTGGCCCTTCTCCCAGCTTGATTCCATCTTTCAATCATTGCACACATGTTCTAGTATAGGAGCTTTTAAAACTTCCATTTCTAAGACAATATTTTCAGCCTCTTCATCCGACTCACATAAAGCATATTCGCTGCGGTGTTACCAGTACAAGGGGCAGATATGGTTTCGCTATCTAGGAAAGAGCAACCTGGACATGAAGATCCGAGTTAAGTATTAGCAGGATTGCCCTGGTAAAAGCATTGTTCCGTTTTGTACGCCCCACCAGTTGTACAAGAGAGAGTCTAGACTTCAAGTGTCTCACTCGGTTCCGGGGGGTTGGTACGACCTAAAGATATAATCCAAGTTCACTTCAATTCGTTTCTAATTTTTCCTCCTTAGCTCTCTCTCAGTCCTCACCTTTCTGCTACCGTTGCTTCAACCTTATTTCTCCTTCGCAAGTACAATCTGTAAGCCACCATGGACGTGTTTTCATACTCCTCTACCTGGACCTCGCGAGTACTACAGTCGATCTGTTTTACATTTCTCGCTCTTTCCGCCATCTTCCTACAACTTGCTTTAACACAGCGCTTGGACAACCCCCCAGCCAACAGGCTCCTTCGTAGAGGGTACTCACGAGGTATGTATCATACGTTCCGCTCATTGGACAAGACCCCGTTTATGCTATGTTGCCCCAGTTGCTGAGATGGGAGGCTTTCCCATTTCCAAATGACACAGCAATCGCCCTCGGACATTATGTATACATCGACGGCGGCGAAGTGTCCCAGCTACCGGACAGCTTAAACCCCGTCGGCCCTGATCCGGTGAACTCGACGCTCTCGATTGACATTTCAAAGTCGTGGCTCACATCGACAGTCGAGATCAAAGCGACGTCCAAAGCAAACGACGGGCCGGTGCCGCTATCCGACCAAGCCCTGCGGGCCGACCCCAGCGGCAACGCCTTCTACGTCATTGGAGGGCCTCATATATGTATATAAATATATGCGGCTACCTACCCGCCAGTAATCGCGAGAGAGGTCTATAGTAGAGGAAGAGAAAGGTCTCTCTTACTGAGTGATCGCCTACGTAGTGGATGTCAGTTGTCCGGGCAGATAGGCAGCCATCTCATGACAGACCACTCATTTTCATTGCACCGTTGCAGATACATTTGGTGCGTGACTGGAGGCCCTTGAGATATTTGAACACAGGAAGACACTCTTATAAGGCCCGGCCGGGTTTGAAATGAGGGCAACCTCAACATAAGAGCTTCTCCTAACCGTGCTGCTGACCATGAACAGTTCAGATTGATACTAGCCAGGAAATATTATTATTCTACTTGCTCATTCGTTCTCTGCTTTCCCCATGCTCCCAGACTCCAACTCACTAGAACAGTCCCACTTCTCTTTCCCCTACATATCCCATCCCATCCCGTCCCGTCCATCTATCTCCCTCCCATCTGAAGGAGAGAGATACCAGTATGTACAACGAGATATTCGACGTATTGTACGTTTTGCTCCCACCTCACCCATTCCTTTTCCTGTTTCTGGTTCCAACAATCGACACATTTTTTTACAACTCTCTCTCTCTCTGCATTATTCCTGTGACATGCGACTGACTGACTGACTGGCAGACAAGCAAGTAACCACTTCCATACCCGCAGCGCAACAAAAGGGGAAAGAAGAACAACGAAGAAAATTCAAATGACCCCGCAGCCGAGAGAGCAAAAGAAAATAAAAGGAGTACACAAGACCAACCACACCATTGTGGGAAACGCCGAGGTTTGAATCGCCGTGGAGTGGGAAAGAAAAAGGTTGAGAGATGGGTTAGGAGAGAAAGAATAGCCTAGCAGGTTTGCTGTGGCCTGCTTTTTCCCCTTTCCGATTATCTCCTCCAACCTTCGACTTCCTTCTCCGTGCACGACGATCATGCAAATGCATTGAAACCAAATGTACAACGCCAAGTTTTAACGCCAAAGCTTGATGAACAGAACAGGTTGAAATCCGAAAGTGACAGTGATAGTGTCAGAGTTAACCCTTCGAAGACGATGGCGGAGGAAGATAACTCGGGTTTCTTAAAGCCCCCGAATGTGAACCATTTGATCGCCATCGGAAATCGGAAGAGAGCAAAAACTGTGATGGGGGTTTGAACTGGTGGTGGGAAAATAGCCAGTATAGACATTGTCTAGTAGACAACCCCTGAAGCAGGAGCAAACAACTCTTTCTGTGTGTGTGGTAAGGTCCACGCGTGGGTATGCAAGGTCGAAACAGGGCCGACAATAAAGGGTATCCAAAAAGAAAATCAATCAACTCGTTCGACCACGGACTGGCTGGGTGGCTGACTCGCGAGGAATGCGTGCGTGTCGGCGGATTCTGTCTGGTCTTTTGTTGGTCTGGTGATAAGAGAGGTCCCGTCCCTTACATGACGATACACTCCTTATCATCCTTGTCCGCACTCTTCCTGATCTTAGCATTCCGAGCCGGAGCGACCTCCATTGGCGTTCCTCCGCTGACAGCCGCACGGATAACTGCTAACCGCTGCTTGGCACGCTCGTCGCCTGCCTCGGCCGCCTTAACGTACCAGAGGTTGGCTTCCAAGATATCCCTTCGACATCCTATGCCCATTTCGGTGAAGTAGCCAACAGCATATTGTGCTTTTACATACCCTGTTATGTCCCGGTTAGCTTTTTCTCCCCGCGACCTCATCTTTCAGACGTGGTTAGCGTCCACTTACCAAGCTCTGCGGACCTCTTGGCCCATTCATAGGCCTCCTCTTCGTCCTTTTCTAGGATGGGATCAGCCCCAACCAGGTACCAGGCGCAAAGTCCCATCATAGCAGCAGCGTGGCCACGCTCCGCGGCTCCCGTGTAGAAGTGGACGCTTAGAGCAGGGTCTCTTGGGCAGTTGAGCTTTCCATGCTCGTAGGCATCGCCCATCCTGTAATTGGCATCGGGATGGCCCAGGTCGGCAGCTTGGGTGAACAGCTCAGCGGCATAACTCTCGTCCTTGAAGATGTCGTCGCCATAGCCTGTCTCGTACAAGCATCCAAGCTGATACGGAGCGGCATTATAAATCGCATCTGCGGATTCGGTGGCGAGCTTCAGCCACTTGACACCCTCCCTATACCTCTTCTCGCCCAAATCACCCGACAGACAGGCCTTTCCTAGCCTTGTCATGGCGCCAGGGTGCCGCTTGGAGGCTGCCGTTCGCAAGAATTGCACGGCCTTGGCAGGGTCTTTACGACAACCCCAGCCAAACTCGTAGCACAAAGCGGTGCGATAAGCGGACTCTGCGTGGCCATGCTTGGCAGCTAACACGAACAGAGGGAACGCCGAGTGGTAGTCCTCTTTCCCCTTGTTAAACATACCCGAGGCATAGCCGTCAGCGAGGTAATACTGTGCAAAAGGGAAGCCGTTGTTGGACAATTTCTGTAGGATGGCCCGCGCTTCCCGCACTAGTTCGTATGGCGAGGATTGGTTGCCTTCTGCGGATAGGTTTTCTGAAGATCGCCCAGGTTTGAGATTCTTAGACTTCCCGAGTTCGTCAAAGTTCAGACCCTGCTCCAGTGCTGTATTGATCAGAAAAACGGCGAAAGAATACTGAGTAGACAAGTCAGTGGTCTTCTTGACATTCTGCCTGTACATCTCCAACGTCTTTTGGGCGCTGAGAAGAGAAACATTATTGCCAACTGCACTGCGTAGCTGGGAGTTGTCGAGTTTGAGGGGTGCCGGTGCCGGTTGGGGATATGGAACGTTCAATAGCTCGGCAAAGGATTGCGGTCGGTTATCAGGCGAGTTTCGAGAGTTTGCGGATGGTGTTCGGTTTTGTAGACCGGGGGAGTGCCCCCGAGACCCAAAGTCCGAGTACACCGAATATAAAGACTGCGGACGTGGCACTGAGCTTCTCCTGTTGAAAGAGTTGGGGGTCAAGTGACGGTTGATGGCACTACCGGTATCACCGAGGCTGGAGTTTGACCGAGCTCTTGGGTCCTGGTCTAGGGCTATGCTAGCCGGCCGTGGCAGGAAAGCAGAATGATGGTAGGCAAGCTGGGGCACCTGCTCCGCCCGAGCAGAGCCATCCTCGAGGATGGAGCTCTCAGGAGAGACATCGCCAGAGTTGTCTGGACAATCGGAAGCCTCGATAACGCCAGACACCGAGCTCGCGCTGGTTGCCGCCGACGAACCGTTCGAGTTAGGTTGCTTAGACGTGCTAACGGTGGTGTCGGACTCTCGGCTTCGACGATTGGTGACTCTTCCGTGGCTCGCTTGCGAAGAATCGGATGGGAGATCGTCCTGGCCAGAGGCCTCTAACTTCAACCTGGCCACGCTGGGCAGTTCTAGCCCCGGCAATGGCTTCGCAGAATCCTGCCATGCTGACTGCGATCTCGGAGCGCCCTGATAGCTAGACATCTCTTGCCTCGGCTGTTCGTGTAATGGGGTATGGGGCAGAGGAGTCGGAGCATCTGGGGTCGCGGGGAGGGCACGATCTGTTTCGATATTGGCGTTGGACGGTTGAACCCAGTTGTCGGGTTGGAAGTTGACCTTCACGGGCGAGATAGGCGACTGGCGGATCCGAGGCGATTCAGCCAGAGAGACACCGGGAAGAGGAGGCGCGTTTTCATTCCATTCGAAGCGCTCGATAGAGGCAATGGCGGGCAAGGCTGTCGTGGGAACAGGTTTCCTACGAGGGCTGGTGGTTGTTGAGGTCGGCGACGCAGCCGGTGATGCAGAGACAGCCGCCATGACAGGCGGCGGGGGGTATCAAGGTCGTCTGGTACAGTAGGTAGTCAACTGTCAAGTCGTATGTAGTCGCAATGCCTGCAGACAGCTGCAGCCTGTCGGACTGTCTTGTCTCTGCTTCCGTCCTTGCTGAATTCGCTGTCACCTTCCACTTGCTGCAGTCGCAAGCATATGCCGTACTCGAATCTCGCGGCTAAAGCTGTGATATGTAGGGATGGAGATTATGCGCTGTTGTTGTAGTTGACTTCCCCTCTCCAAAACCCAAAAGGCGCTGTAGCAGACCGGAGTCGCAAGGACTGGGAGGGCGCCGGTGGGTGTTGACGGGCAGGATCCCGTTACAGACAAGACAGCCAAGTGGGGATGGCTGGAGAAGTGCTAATTCGCAATAGACGGGAGCCCAGGGAGCGAGTACGCGCAGACAGTCGACAGGGGGACGAGGGGCGACGGGGGGCCGTGACCGCGTGAGGATGATCGTACTAAGTATTGGGTGATCGCGTGGGTGGAGGAGGACTCGTGGATGGTGGAGAGGGCGACTTGGTGATCTTTCGGGCAAATAAGACAAACAGCTTCCCCGGCTGATGCGCGTCGTGGTCTGTTGCCTTTGGAACCTTGTGTGAGCCTTTTGAAGAACCTCTGAGCCTGCCTGGGATGTACGTACAAACTGACACACGAAAGTGGGAAGTGAAGGTTGTAGCGAGCGACAGGGTTGACAAGAACCTCAGGGCGACGATGACAGAAGAAGGTCACCTCAGCGAGCGTGGATGTCTCTTGTCGGGGGTTCGGTTGCAAGTGGTTAAGTTGGAAAAGACCCAAGGGAATTAATTGTGCCTATGTAACAAGAAATTAAAGCCAGGGCGGTCAAAGAAAAGAAACTATGGACATGTATGGGTAGTGTAAAATAGGCCAAAGTCCAAAACGCCAGTCAACTCAACATCCAGAATAGAGACCGGAGGCGAGACGTTATGTTGTGAGGCTGGAGGTCCAGGCGTTGTGTATCGTGGTGGCCGTGGTGGATGCTCTTCGGTGGTTTTCCTCTTTGGTCTTTTGCAGTTGGACGCAGGCAGTGTGATGCAGTGGACTGATGTTGGGGTTGACGGGCAGCGGTTGACGGGTGAACTAAAAAGGAACACTTGCAGTCGCAGAACGGGAGAGCAACACACAGCGCCGCCCAACACTGAAAGAGGAGTCCACGGAGACTGGAGATCGGCGTTCGGTCGCCAGAAACATTTGAACGAGCCAATCCACGGCAGAGTGGAAGCTCCGCATCGTTCGACCACCTGCGCTGCCCAGTGTGGGAGCATTGGGTGCTGGGTGGTCACGACCTGGGGTGGCCCTGCAGGGACAGACTGTGCAATGCAGACGTGAATACGGGCGGGCGAACAGGCACCCGGACTTCCACTTCCATTAGTGGTGTCCATTACATCAATTCATTGCGAGCTAGTATCAACAGAGTAATCCTGTCACTCACTGTAAAAGGCCTTACCGTAGGTATTCAAATCTGCCCGCACATACATTAGGTTTCGCTGGTCACGCGCATCCATGCCTCTTGTTCTCCCCTTTTCTCTTGTCCCATCCCCCTTTGCTTCCACTTCCAAAACCTGAGAGGTTGGACAATGGGCTGGCTGCTCGGGTCACGGCGGGCTGGTGCGTTGCAGAATTACAGGATTACCTAATAACTGCCTACCCAGAAGGGTGCGCAGCAGAAGTGGAAAATGATACTTTACCTCTGTTAAGATGGGATTCAATGAATGCCAATCGTCTCTCTTGCTTCAGGCACGAGGCAGACGCCTCTTCAGGACCAACAAGCTTCATCCGTCTTCCAGTCGGTTGAAGTCCCCCGTTATATTCTACTTCTCACGGCGATGCGCTTGTGCTTGATTACTGGCTCCTTGGAAACTCATTAGGAGTATGTACCTTCATGACTTATTCACTCCTTCCTTACCTCATCGGCCAAGAAATTGTCCCTTCCCCCGGTGAACATAACAGTGTGCTATTAGCAGCTACTACCGGCAACCATCAAGACCCCGGCCCCTCTTTCCAAGGCCTTAAGCAACTGGCAAGATCGGAAAAGGCAAGAACAAACAGGAAATGCACATGAAACTGCCATCCATTCCACGCCTCCACCTTCCATATCCTGTCTTATTCCAGGAATGACGGATGACGATGCCAGTCTCTGCTTCGGTCTGGATCGCCTGTCTGAGGACATTAAGCTTTTGCTTGTGCAACGTGCTGGCTGAAAAGGCTTGCATCATCTTGTGGCTTGCAGGACCTGCATCTGGGGGCACCATTCCTTCTTCTCAAACCTCCCCTCCATTGGCTTTTTCCTCGCCCCTCAACATCTGAGGGCGACGACAGACCACCCTTGTGAACTACAAATATCGCCTACACATACCAAGAACGCTTTGCAGCATCGACAGACCCTTGGCGTCTCCCTGGCTGCCTCTGGCTATTCGATTCCGAGACAAGACGGCGGGCGGCTGAAGGACTCTGGACATGGACAACTTGGGCAGCCCAGGCTTCATTAGGCAGGTATCGTATCGCGTCTGTAACAAGGCTGGCGGCACAGCCAACATTGAATCGCCAAGCGAAGATGAGTTCCTGAACCATTGACACCCATCAAGATTCGACAAAGAATGCACAACCACCTTGGCAGAGAAACAAACTAGTGAAGATGAAAGTACCATCTCCTTGGGAAGTGCTACGCTACCTGCGCCGTAGCTGGGCCGATGCACTATAGGTTAGGTACCGTGGGGCCAAATAAGCGATGCTCTAACAGTGATGGCTAAGCTAATAATATCCCAGGTGACGATGGCTTCTTCGTACGACAAAGGTTACCGCCAAGCTGGTAGAGGAGAGACAAAAGGCGACCTCCATTGCCCGGCCCGCAATAGCACACGTTACTCGCCAGGCATACCTCCTTAGGCACAGCATGCCGATTTGCGAATTCATACACCTGTGGTCAAGCCCTCAGTTCAGCAAAACGTCGTAGGAGGTCGTTCAGCTCCATGCAGCCTCGCGAGCAAACTGGGAATATTCTGTATCTGCTTTGGTCAGACACGGCGTTTTCCAACGACCATACAGCGACAGAGCCATACACTTTCCCAATACCAAACAGCTATTACGGCAAGGCACTATCGTGGCCTACGTATAGTGTTTAAAAGGGCAGTAAGCAACCTAGCGCATAAGCTTTTATCCTCCCGCGGTTTGCTTTCTGCAACAGAGACTTTTCAGGGTCTCGGTCTCTAGCCCATCATTGCTACTGTGCGGAGTGCCCCGTTACACAAACTCCATACAGGAGCCAGACGGCCGGGCTGCCGGGCTTGAAGGTCCCCGTCCAGACTTCCACAATCATTGGTTCTCACAAAATCTTGAAAAAATCTCATGGGTTGGTGCTGACAATAAGGGCCCTTTAGTTTCTCTAGCTGCTGCTCAGGGCTGGTGAGAATGGTGGCGTTTTTCCACTTTTGGGTGGGACACCACTACCAGTATATCGACCGCAACCCAATAAGCCGAGCGATCTTCTGCCGCTGAACGAGGACGGCGGGGTTAGCGTTCACGAACTCGGGCTTTGTAACACCCCACGCTTCCTCCGTGGCCTTGGGACATCGTCCCGTTTGTCCGTTCTTCCGAGCTTGGTATAGGTAAGTATCATGAAGTTTTCTGTACGATGCTCCTTTTTTTTCACAGGCACATAAGACCGGGGAGGATATCACAAAAGAAAACCCATGAGCTGTCGAATGCCGGACTGGAGATGTTAGCGCTGCTCTGATTTCGCCAACGACATCGGGTAAAATGTGCTCCAGCAGAGACGGTGAAAAAAAGACACCCTAGCTCAAAAATAAATGAAATGCGGCTTGCGTGAACAATGAGAGGACATCTCTTTCACTCACAGTCAGCGTAACTTCGTATTGATAGATGGGTGTCAAGGTCAGCGTGACCACCACCACTTTGACGCCCATCCCGCGCAATACGAAGCTGACGGCTTGCCTTTTTAGGGAATTGGGAAAGGACGTGATCCAATCACAATATTAGGCAACTATTTGGTCCTACACAACCCCCCTTCTTTCATGACATTGGTCGTCGATATTTCAACACGTATAACGCACGCTCAAAGACAGCGACTGGACAGAAGAAAGCATCACCAGCTCTTCAATATTCACACCAATATCGCTCGCGGAAAGGCTTCTTTATGTGAGTGTGGCACGTATCCGGATACTTGGGCTTTGAGAAGGCGAAGAGTCCATGTTACACTCTCAGTTTTTCACTTCGTCAACATTTAAGCGCTAGAACTAGGCCAAGCACACGTTCGTATGTACACTTGCATCGTGAGGACGGATACGGGTGCCGAGCGGCAGCGTTTTCGGCTTCACGGCGCTTTACCTATGACCTTGCCTTGTGTGTACAAGTGAACTAAATGCTAGGCTCTGCAGATAATTCGAAACATTTGTTGGTTCGTTGGGGCCGCGAAGAAGGCGTCCCGAAAGGCGGTTACCAACTCGTTCTGCAGTTGCTACATCCGGGCCCGGGCAGATAGACTGAAGGTTTCCGCAGTAAACACCTACACTGGGATGGGGTTGGACAAGGCGACGGAAGGGATGCAGGATGGTGGCTTTGACCAGCGATCAAACTGACCGAAGAAGATCTTTGGTACTTTAATATTGACCCCATGGGGATCTGTGTGAGGTCTTGCCTATCTCGCACGGCTGGAGACGTTGGAATATCTGGGGATCGCTACCAAGAGTTGATCCATCTCATCCTGTCCAAGGACTTCAACCACACGATGAAACTCCTCCCAAGAGCAACACACAAAGCACGCCGAGCGAGCGGTCATCTCAGATATTCGACCGCCGCATATGTATGGACGTGACATCTATAAAAAGGAGTGGAAAAAGGAGATCGGCGCTCCGTTCAACACACTGGGTCTCCTTGAACTTTCCCCCGGTCCCCGGCCGTTTGCCCAGTCAAGCCGGGGGAAAACGTGGGTATCACGTCTTGTGAGTTGTGACGGGTGCCCATGGAGTTCATTCTGCTATGGATTCCAGGGTCCAAAGTCCAGTGTTTTACAGTGGGGACGCAAAGCGAGATTGACGCTCCGGACGGCGTCATTCGATGGAAAATCAGCGAAAATGAGGTGACCCCGCCTGATCATGAACGACTGGTAATTGTAAATTGAGGAAGAGAAGGTGGGGGGGTGGGGGGGAGGACACACCGGATATGAGACCTCATGCCATCCATCTTATTATTGTTCACCGTTCAGAGATCCAAAATGGCTGATATTGAAATAAAAGGGGGAGTGTCTCACGTGAATCACAGAACTCAGTGCTCATCTACAGTACAGAGTACCAAGAGGTAGCTCACGTGGAGAAATCAACGGTGCCCTGTGGACCCGAGATGGATGTGCCCCGCGTTATCCCGACATCCATGACGGAGAATATCATGCCGGGCTCGGCTTGTTGATGCACATACAGTATTCTTTATGCATGCACATTTGTGTCAAAGCCGCATTTTGAACTTTGGGGAGACGGCGTCCGGAAAGAAATACACAAACTTGTCATGGAAGTTAATCGGAAACTGCAGTCAACGGGCATTCCGAGGATATCACGGATCGTGGATAAGTAAGTGTGGACCACTCGCCGGTTCGGGCTGTGCTCAGTGCTCACTCTTTGCGCCCCGGCGATGATTCCCAGCCGCAGCTGGAGCTCAAGTCCGGCCGAGCACTCCGTCGCCGGAAGAGCTTTTACACAGCTCTCGATCAAAATAAAGAGTGTTTGTTGAGTGAGAGCAACCGGCGCCAGCATTTGAGCGCGGTGCAGCCGCTCAATCCACCGCTGGACTTAATTTCAACGTCGCCCCAAGACTAGACTGAGTCCGCGGTAGTTCACGATTGGCAAGCAATTGAGAAATGAAATGAATTGATGTGCCCCGTGGCCGAGGCATCGATTTATTGATTGATGAGAAAGGGAGAAGCATGCATACCTCTACAGTGGGGAGTTCCGCGATGTTCCAGAAGCGCACCGTGCCATTCAGCGGCGGCCGGGGATTCCACTCTGGAGTCGGGAGAGAGCGCAGAGCGCAGATCGCACAAAGCGAAGCCACCGACTGTACTTGTGGTGGCAGATCATCAGACGAAACAACGGAAACAGGCAACTGCTTCTCCCTCCCTTCACCAGTCTCTCTTCACCTTGGAACCAATTCATGCCAACGGCACGGCATTGCTTCAACAACCCGTGTCAAGATGTACATTGTATCGTCATTGTCGTTTCAAGACTGTCCTTTGCCGTGCCGTTCGTAACTACGTGTAACCTGTTAACCTGTTCCTGGATGCACCTCATCCAATCTCTCTTGCGCTCTGGTCTAGAACGAAACTAGGCCATTTGCCCGTGGGGTTCCCACTGCCATCCCGGTTCAGAGCTGCATCCCAACAGGCACAGCGAAGGCGTTGTTGGGTGTAATTCCAGAACCTGCTTCAGAAGCTCTTCACAACTCTCTCTTATTGAGTTTTTATTCAACAGCTCCGGTCACTGCTGCTGAGATGATGCTTTCCATGCTTTCATGATAATCACCGCTGAACCATTTGTAGTCGACCTCATCCTCCACGTTTCCGTCCGTGTCCCGCATATTGACATGTCCCGCTACTGCATGACCAAAACAAGTACCTGTAGAATCTGTGCTTGGTTGCATCGACCCTGACTGCTTCCCGCCGTCCCAAGTATTCCCTAGCACCTGACGCAAGCACTAGGAGAAGATGCCCGGCAGCTTGTCAAGGCGGGCAGGGACCATTACGCTGGAACGGTCCGCTCTGCAGAACATCGAACATCGAACATCAAAGACTTTTCTAGGGCGACCATGACAGCTCCGGGCTCTGCGAATCTTTGGCCACGCGCTGGCGCGGTAAAGTTCCTGGAGGGGAGGGAGGCTCAGGAGGGTACCTGGGAGAGGAGAGTGGAATCGAGGGATCTGGATTGAAAAAGCGACAGACGGAAAAAACAACGAGCGGGCTGGGCGAGGTTAGTGCGCAGCTGATTGCCAATTCCAGGTTCAGTCGTCGGGTTTCTCTTCCTTGGCTCTGGGAAACAGCCAACAATACGGCCGCATATCATTGGTCTAATTGGGTGCCTGAAAGAGCGCCTGCGCCCCCCCCCGTCTCCTGAGAAACACCGTCAACTCTGTTTCCAGGCCTGCCAGGGCAAGCCCAGTATTCCAACCTCGTCGGTTCCGCATTGCAAACAATTGGAACTGGGACGAGCCGCCTCTCGTTCACAAGTTTTGTAAGTCGACTTTTTCTCCATACCTCACCTTCTATTCATCATGCTGCTATTTGGTAAAGCCTGATTCGTGCAAAAGGATAATCCTCACTTTGGTGCTATTGGTGGAGGCTTCGTCTTGTCATTCCCTGAAGAGCCGGCCGACTGCTTTCCAGTTGCGACGCGACAAGTGACGTTGGCTCTCCTACGACAAAACCGTCTTTGCCAAACATACCAGCGAATCTTCGGCCTTGCCATCGATCCCGGGCTCGCTAACCGTCCAGCTTCATATTTAGTAGCATCATGTCTCTTCCTCAGAGGCCGGGGGCGTCGCCTTCGTATGAGGAGCGACGCAGCTACCGGCAAAGCGGTTCGCGCCGCAGTCGACCACCACCCGCCGATGTCGAGGCCGGATATGCCCCACGACCAAGCCATCACCGACAACGTGTACCATCGATATCTTCATTTCCAGAAACGCTCCCGTCTCCAAACCCCAATGTCGAAAGGGACCCTCTGTCGCCGTCCCCCGAGCCCGGGCATGTATCCGGCATGCCTCAGCGGAAGAGGAGTCTGATTCGACCGGAGCGCCAAAAGATTGGAAAAGACCATCCCAACTACCACTACAGAAAACATGCGGCCAACATGAACACCCTGCCGTCTTCAACCGGAAACGACCCGATTTACGAGGGTTTGGAAGGAGTGACGGACGACGTATCGGGAACTGGCTCGAGGAACGACGACAATATTTCCGAGGAGTCGCCCCCAAGGAGAAAGCACTCAACCAAAACCCGGGTTATCGAAACTGAAAAGTCGGGCGATGAGAGACGACGTCGGCGGAAATCGGATACCACGAGACATGGCAAGATCGTCAAGGATTCAAAGGGAAAGCGCGCAAAGCCCGGAGGACTTCCACCGCCGAGCTTCTGGAACGTCTACTGCGGATTCATCACCTTCTGGTGCCCTGGTTTCGTCCTCAAGTGCTTCGGCATGCCCGAAAAGGCCCAGCAGAGGGCCTGGCGAGAGAAGATGGGCCTGATCAGTATTATTCTGCTCATCATGGGCTTTGTCGGTTTCATCACTTTCGGCTTTACCCAGGTGGTTTGCGGTAAACCTCCGCTCCGGTTGCGCATCAATGAGGTTGGACCCGGATACATGATCTTCCACGGATCTGCATATGACCTCACCAAATCTCACCATCCTCCGGCTGAGGGTATCCCTCGCCGCCAGGACGGTTTGGGTGCCAACATTATCTATGACTTGCCTACACGTTACGGTGGACAGGATGGCAGTTTCCTGTTCCAGAACGTCAACGGCAGGTGCAAGGGTCTCATCACCAAGCAAGAGAAGTCCGATGTGCCAAGCGATAAGAGCGGCAATCTGGCGTGGTACTTCCCTTGTACCACGTTCAACCAAGACGGTTCATCCAAGCCCAACACCACGATACCTTATTACCTGGGCTATGCCTGCCACACAACCAAAACCGCCAGAGACACTTTTTATCTAGGCCTTAACGAGCCCGCCGATGTCTACTTTACGTGGGACGACATCAAGAACAGCTCTCGAAACTTGGTTGTCTACTCTGGCCACGTTCTCGATCTTGATCTGCTTCACTGGTTCAACGACACTCAAGTCACGATTCCCAACCGCTTCAAGGAGCTGAGGGATAAGAACACCCCTGGAAACCAGGCTATTCGCGGACGCGATATTACCCACGCCTTCCAGTCGAGCAAGGACAAGCAGATTGCCGAGTGCTTTGAGGAGATTATCAAGGTCGGTTCGGTGGACACTGAGACTGTCGGCTGCATTGCGTCAAAGGTCGTTCTCTATGTGTCCCTCGTCCTTATCCTTGCAGTCGTCCTCGCCAGGTTCGTCTTGGCTCTAATCTTCCAATGGTTCATCAGCAAGACGTATGCGGCCGCTAAGACCTCCCAGACGTCTGACCAGCGGAAGCGAAACCGTCAGATTGAAGACTGGACCGAAGATATCTACAGAGCTCCCCCAAGGTTCCCAGGCGAGGTTGGAAGCAGTGTCGCTGGAAGCTCAGATCGTCAAAGCAAGCGCAGCAGTGCTTTCTTGCCCACCCATTCCCGTTTCTCTACTGTCTACCAAAATGAGCGCGGCAATAGGAAGTCCGGACTCCCTACGACCATGGCAAGCCAGAACGCCGCTGGCCAGTTGCTTCATCCAGGAGCGATGTACGGCCAAGGCAACGAGAGTCGATCGGAATTCCTCAAAGACCCTTACGCATCAAGCAGCAGTCCCGCAGATGGCCCAGGCCCTGCCGGTTTCATTCACGAAGCTGTCGTTCCTCAACCACCTTCCGACTGGATGCCCTTCGGCTTCCCTCTGGCTCACACTATTTGCCTTGTCACAGCTTACTCCGAGGGTGAGATGGGTGTTCGTACCACTCTGGACTCGATTGCTATGACGGACTACCCCAACAGCCACAAGGTTATCCTCGTTATCTGCGATGGTATTATCAAAGGCCACGGAGAGACACAGTCGACCCCCGATATTATTCTCAGCATGATGAAGGACCACACAATTCACCCCGATGACGTCGAGCCATTCTCTTACGTCGCGGTCGCGACCGGTTCCAAGCGCCACAACATGGCCAAGGTCTACGCCGGCTTCTACGATTATGGCAATAACTCTGCCATTCCTCTGGAGAAGCAGCAGCGCGTTCCTATGATGTGCGTCGTGAAGTGCGGTACTCCTGCCGAAGCCTCCAAGTCGAAGCCTGGAAACCGTGGCAAGCGTGACAGTCAGATTATCCTCATGTCCTTCCTCCAGAAGGTCATGTTCGACGAGCGTATGACCGAGTTGGAGTACGAGATGTTCAACGGCATGTGGAAGATCACGGGCATTTCTCCCGACTTCTACGAAATTGTGCTCATGGTTGACGCTGATACCAAGGTCTTCCCCGATAGTCTCACGCACATGATCTCGGCCATGGTCAAGGATCCTGAAATCATGGGTCTCTGTGGCGAGACCAAGATTGCCAACAAGCGAGCAAGCTGGGTTTCCGCCATCCAGGTGTTCGAATACTTTGTCTCTCATCATCTCGCCAAGGCTTTCGAGTCCGTCTTTGGTGGTGTCACTTGTCTTCCCGGATGTTTCTGCATGTACCGCATCAAGGCGCCCAAGGGTGGTCAGAACTACTGGGTCCCTATCTTGGCCAACCCGGACGTCGTCGAACATTATTCCGAGAACGTGGTCGATACCCTGCACAAGAAGAACCTCTTGCTCCTTGGTGAGGATCGTTACCTCAGTACCCTCATGTTGCGCACGTTCCCCAAACGTAAGCAGGTGTTTGTGCCCCAGGCCGTTTGCAAAACCACTGTCCCCGAAGAGTTCATGGTGTTGCTCTCGCAGCGCCGCAGATGGATCAACTCGACGATTCACAATCTGATGGAGCTCGTTCTCGTCCGCGATCTCTGCGGTACCTTCTGTTTCAGTATGCAGTTCGTTGTCGGTATCGAGTTGGTTGGTACTCTTGTGTTGCCTGCCGCCATCGCCTTTACTTTCTATGTTGGTGAGTAGCCATCGCCCCCTGAAGTTTCTTCCCTTTTCGAACGACTCAACACTAACGTGTGATAACTAGTTATCATCTCGATTGTTAACTCCCCGCCACAAATCATCCCGCTCATCCTCCTCGGTCTCATTCTCGGTCTCCCAGCCATACTCGTCGTCGTCACCGCCCACAGCTGGTCCTACATCGTCTGGATGCTCATCTACCTGATCTCCCTGCCCGTGTGGAACTTCATTCTGCCCACATACGCCTTCTGGAAGTTCGACGACTTCTCGTGGGGCGAGACGCGCAAGACAGCCGGCGAAAAGTCAAGCAAGGGTGGTCACGGCGAAGCTGAGGGAGAGTTTGATAGCAGCATGATCACCATGAAGCGCTGGGCCGAGTTTGAGCGCGACAGGCGTGTCCGGAGCACGTACTGGGCCGGCTCGAGGGACAATGTCATGTCCGGAGTAGGGGGCAGTAATGGCTGGAGCAGCCAGCCGAGAGGCCACGAGCAGGGGAGGCACTTTGACGACTACTTTTCGGATGCTTAAGTTTTGATGTGGTGTTGTTGTGTTGTGTTTAAAGTACCAAGAAGTTTGTCAGGAGGTTTGGTGATTGTTGGAAAAAGAAGGGATGGGATGATGTATTGAACAAGCAGCCCTCTCTGTTTCTTTTCACATTCATCGTCATCATCACGGGACAAGGCGAATAAGATATTAATGTGTCAGTTTATTGGTTTTGTTGATGGGTTTTGGCAGCAGGCGGGTTTTGTTAATAAGGTTAAAACTCTTAGACATCATTGTTATGTGGAAAAGAATCAAGTACTTCTTTTTGGCCTGCTCTCTTTTTTTCCTGATTTACCTATTCCTCGGGCTTTGGATCAGTCGTTCACAACCCTCCCTTGCCTTCGGAGGGGATCGATCATCTTCGCTTCTTGCAAGACCTTAGAGGGGTAGTCAAATATGTGTTCATCCACTGGACACCGCCGCGCTGAATCGGCGAGGAGCAAGAAAAAACCGCCACCCTGCACGCACAGACTAGAACTAACATACATGTACGTTTTCCCATTATTGCATGTAGCTATCCGAAGGCAGACAAGTGGCAAGCGGCAAGCACACACAACACAACATACAGCAGGCAAGTTGGTAGGTTGGTAGGCCAGTCAGTCTACAATCTTAATAGCCAAGCGAACAATGACCCTATCCATTTTTTTCCGCCTTTAAATCGGATACCAGATTGCGCAATTACAGGATGGGTGTAAGTATGTAGGGAAGTGGTTGTGTATGAAGGGGATGGATGGATGGATGGATCAACTGTCTGACTTTGACTGACTGACGCCTGTTCTTGTGTGACCTGTGCCATGCCGAGGGGATATAGGTAGCTGGATGGCTGAGGCAGGCAACATGACATATAAAACCCAGGTGATAATGTTGGGGGGGGGGGGGGGGGTATAAAAGCGAGGAAGGCAGAAATCTGGGTGTGTGTGAGCCTTTGTGAATGGTGTGGTAAGAGTTGGTAAGTGTTTACGGATGCGGATAGTACCTAAGTAGTAAAGTATAGGTATACAGGCACAGAGGCACAGACCGCGCGGCGGCTGGTCTGTCTATAATACGGGAGATGTACCGTAGGCCCGTAACTTGAAGGAACGCAAGAGGTTCGTTGTGGGACAAACGTGAGCTAGGTAGTAGTCTCCAAGCATGAACGATTATCTATCTCTGTATCACCGCAGAAGTTTTGGTGCGAACTTTCTCATAAAACATAAAAAAAGGGTTGAGAGGTGAGTTGAAATTTGAGATGAGTCGCAGGAACTGATCTTGCTGAAGCAACAGTGATAATCCAGAAACAGGATAGTGACCGGTAAAAGAAATATTGACCGGCGAAGGTAAGCAGGGCGAGCTTTGGGGTCCTTTTGAGGTGATTTGTCACATTCGAGACTCTTTTATCCGGTCGAGGTATGGGGTCGAAAGCTGAGCTGTCTTTACTGTGAAGAGCCATGATCGATACAAAGTCATGAGCTGTCTCCACGAAGGTCGCTAATGCTGGAAGCATCATCTTTTATGCGCCGAGGCCTTCCGTCGTTGCGAGATTCCACGGTATCGTAGTGTCTCTTACATGTTCTCTGGCCGTGTGCATGAGGGTGAGCCCCCGCGGGTGGTAACTCTCTGCCTGCCCTCGCTCACCTATATGATATGATCTGACGGAAGCATAATGGCGTAGGGTAGGAGACGGCTCGTCGCTAGGTGCGGCTGTTGAAGTAATCCGAACCTGGAAGTGTCTCGCATGGTTGAAAAGAGCCGGAAAGAGAGACGGCCGAGGGCGACGTGGTGACTCTGACTTTGGCCAGTGAGCAACCAACCTACCTTATCCTTGGGTCTCTCTGTTCCCCACACTAACGAAGTCTCCCGGGCTTCCAAGAATCCGGAACTTATCTGGTGTGCTTGTCTGGATGGTACCATGGTGGTGTTGTATCGAGCGAGGGAGTGGACGGTGCACAGACGCTGAAAGCCATTGAGGATTCATCCCGTCGGGATGCAGCAGGTGAGTTCCCGGTATCGCTTATACCTACCACTGTTAGTGATGGCCAAGACTATATGTGCTGCTTCTTAACATACCAATAACAGAGATCACAGGACGGGCGGGATACAAGGGTGACCTTTGTCAACTGACTTCATCCTGGGACGGTTCCGTTATCCCGCCCCCGCGAGCCCGCATTCTCACACGCTGCTGCTGTCATGTATACTTTGCATCGCATATTCGCATTGGATAATCTAACTGCACCCCCAACTGCACCATTGCAGAGGCTTTCCATTTGTTGAAGAAACGAGATGGGAGAGCCGAATCCGATTCAGACCTTTCCCACTTCCCCTCCTCGGGTTCAGTCAAGACAATACTGACTATGAAACAAGCTCATGCGTACCTACTACCTTTTTCATTCAAACTTCACAAGGACCTTTCATCGATGATGAGTTGAGCCGGTGGCTCTCGCTGAAGTCGGAATGGCAGCTGTATCTGTCTCGGATTCCTTCCTGTTCTTGATGTCACTGGACAATTCAGCGCGGGAAAGATGTCAAATCAGTCCACTCAACACAACAGTTTGCTTGTCAAGTGCAGTGGAAGTGAGAGACGCTGCTTGGTTGTTTCGCACTGTGGAGATTTCATGACACACCTCACCGGCTGGGGAAGCTACGGTCGGTGTGGTGAGGTGGCTGCCGCTGCTCAGCAGGTCTGTCTGCAGTGGTCTCTTTTGTTTCTCTTCAGGCTCCAACTTGGTTTGGGGGTCAGGTTGGGATTTTTTATATCATCGGATCCTTAACACCTTTTTGCCTATCTACAGCTATCAACCGGCTATTTACTTGAAGAGACAAGTACTCTAGGTACTTCCGAGATGTCTTTTGAGTTGCCGTTGACAAGCGCCCTATCCGCTCGCAAATGGAAGCGCAGTAACATCTATGGTAGACCAGCCCGCGTGAATACGACTTCGATCGGAAACAAGAAGGCCTGTGAACAGTGGGTCCCGTCCCAAGTCTATCTTGGTTATTCGAGTCCAATCAAACATCAGATCTGGCCCGTCTCTCTTCCCAGACTCCCAGACTTTTGGGGTCGTTGATGAGCTTACCAGAGAGCCGGCGCCCGCTCATCAGGATCCCAAAGCAGGGCAACCAAGGTTTGAGACGTCCAATTGCGCATTGTGCAGTGGCATCCGCTCAGCGAAAAGGCAAGGCAGTAACCCAGCTTCCCATTCAAAGATCGCTCCCGTCGGTTTGGGCCGTTCGTTGGTCGGCCACTGAGAGAGAGGGCACTCACTCACTGCCTGCACCAAGCACTGCAGCACCACCTCCACTGTCTGCCCTGCTCTTATAGTAACCACCTGTACACCACCACCTTCCTTTCTGAACCGCCCGCACACACCACTGGCTGCTTGCCTGACAAAGAAACGAGTCCGACAAGAAGTAAGATGGACGCGACTCTTCCATGAACCGAACGAGCACTGGGACAGACGCTTTTTTTTGGAATTCCATCTAGCGGGCTTTTCTCTATGAAAGTTTAGACGACAACCCATCCAGCTACTCCGATTTCCATCCCATCTCCGAATCCCCGTTCGTCCCTCCGAGAGACACGGAACTTGACGAGCCCAGCCGTCCCGTCACCCTTCTGCCCCCGATCCGGGCCCAACCGGCCGAGCCACCCTTCCATCACTCGACTTGCCAGTGACGGGACCTGCACACTGATTGCCAGCCAAACAGCGGCTGAAGCTGAACTGGCATGCAGCAGAGTGAAGTGCGCGACTTCCATGACTTGGACGCACCAGGCCAATCCACTCTGTTCCAGTGCGTCTGCCCCTCACAGTCGCGACCACGCCCGATGCGCCCCATATATTGACGACCTGTCCATTATAAACAACTTTATCCGAGGGACTCCCGCCTTACCACCCACCAGTTGTCGCTATGCGCGACACAAAGATGCGGAACGGTAATCGATCACACGTATCCCACGCTGTTCACGGTACTGGCGCCTTTACCGACATGCCTACCGGAAACTCGGCTGTCGCCGGGTCTAGCTGGCCGACCACCGTCCCCATGTCCACCATCCCGGACGAGGCGGATGGGGTAAACTACCAGTACCACATGGCAAGCCCTCAAGTATTCAGTCAACCACACAACAACCACGTGTCTGAGAGCGGCAGCGATTACGAAGACTTCGAGGATGAGGAGCACCAACAGCAAGACGGGCAAGGCGATCAAGAAATGGAAGAGCACGGACGACAACGACGTACGACGACGACGAACGACGACGGCCATGGCGAACATGAGAGCCTGTTCTATGGTCACCACTATCTGAGTACCGATCAAATGCTGGCTCATCATCCACAGCCCTCCTACTACACTGCCATGGACGGTTATATTTCCGACGACGTCGACATGTCCGATGATGCGGGCGCTCCCTTGGTGAACTACTTGCAAGTGGCCAACTTACTCACGAACGACATGGATACCGATGTTTCAGACTCGGGTGGCGAGCATGGCTTTCCATATGAGTTGAGCATGGAGCCCGACAACGAGGACTCCGTTAGCATGGCCTCCTCTTTATCGGACGAAGAGCAGTTCTCACAGTACCCTCCTGCTCCTCCAGCTCCTTTCACACCCTTCACCCTAGGCTTAGTCACCCAAATGCTGGCAACAACTGGGCAAGGCTGGCCGCCTACGACGACCGCCTCACAGGCAGATGTGATAAACAACATCAGCAATACGATGCACCCCCAAGTCCCACCTACAACGTTCCTTGATACCTTTCCTCACCCAACTCACGGCCCCAATTTTCACAGCATGACCAGTCTTGGTCCAAGCAACTACCACTTAACCCAGCTCTTATATCAGTGGGCCCGTCCAGATCCTCGAGAACAGGGTGTACATCTGCCTAGGGGCCCTTATCCACGGCCCAGCAGGATTGCAGACCTCGGTGCCCAAAAGCTTTCGCAGACGCGCTACACAGACCTTGCTGGAGACCAATGCGACTTTCAAGGGGTGAATTGGGAAAGGTTAGGAGTGACCAGACAGGAAGCACGGCAACGTCGACTCCTGACTTATAGGAACTATGTCAATGTGCCGGAGTCTGATAGGTGGCACGTGAGTACTCTTCACAGTATGCCCTCGCTCGAACATGTATACTTACTGGCGCCACAGGAAAATTGTCCCGATATTAGCTTGTCTTGCACCGATAGTTTTCTCCGATTCAAGCGTATGGACTTCAAGTCCAATATCAACTTGTCGCACTTCCAGCTACGAAACATCTTGGCAACGACATCACGTACCAAGGTCTTTTATCCCGGCTCCGGCGCTGTACACCAGTTCAACCCAGTCTCGGGGAAAACCCGAGTAATCATGAAACTCGGCGACGCCCAGGGCTCACACGTCTCTACCATGGCTGCCGGCCACGGCTTCCTGATAGCGGGTAGCTTCAACGGTGAGTATACACTTCGCCATATGGACTCTGACGAACCAGACTCGTCAGCATGCCACGAGGGTATCATTACAAGCAACCAAAGCGGCATCACGAACCACGCCCAAGTGTATCAGGACCGGAATTCTGACCGACCACTGGTTGGCTTTGCGTCGAACGACGCTGTCTTCCGCGTCATGGATATAACCACCGAAAAGTGGCTTTCCCACGAAGTTTACGATTTCCCACTTAACTGCACGGCAGTGTCTCCAGACCGTCGCCTGCGTGTCGCTGTTGGAGACCATAAAAACGTCTTCATCACCACGACCGAGTCGACCCTGGGAGGTGGGAAACCCCAGGTCCTTCAGGAGCTCTCCGGTCATCGTGACCACGGCTTCTCTTGCGCCTGGGCAGACGATGGATGGACAGTTGCCACGGGTTTCCAGGACAAGGCAATCAAGATCTGGGATGCGCGCCGCTGGACAGACAACAACGGATCCTCGACGCCAGTATGCACCATACGTGCCGAGATGGCCGGAGTCCGGAATCTGCAGTTCTCGCCGATTGGCAGCGGCAAGCGTGTGCTGGTCGCTGCTGAGGAAGCGGACTACATCAACATCATCGATGCGCAGACCTTCCGTTCCAAGCAGACAGTCGACGTTTTCGCCGAGATTGGTGGTGTTTCGTTTACGAACAATGGGCAGGACCTCACGGCGTTGTGCTACGATCCCACACGAGGAGGTCTTCTGCAGTTGGAGCGGTGTGGGATGGGTCAGATGACACAGGATTTCGACGAGCGAGGCTTGGATTATCGATACTATGGGCGGCACATGGGAGGAGGCAGCGACTCTGACTGGCCGCGGTCTTCGTTCACCGAGGAGAAGCGCATCAAGGATAGTGTGGTTTGGAGGGCTCAAAGGCGCGCGGCGCTGGCTGAGTTGGGGCCTTTCTGAGCTTGATCAGAGAATCCAAAATGGGTCACGATCGAAGTTCTATGGAACATTCACAGAGAACTGTGGTCCCTTCTGCGACGGTTCATGAGTGACGAACATACAAAACGAACGCCACGGTCAACAATTAGGCCGCGTTTACCCTCTAGCGAGCTCGGAGGCTTGTTTCATACCATTAACTGATTACGTCTGTCACGAAAGGATACATTACGTTCATCCGACAACATGGAAGGCAACACCCCGGAAGCGTCATTAAAGGGCGGAAAGCTTTGTGCTAAAGATAGTATGGAGCACTAGGTGATGCTTGGCTCTACTAGCTTTTATCTTCACAGGCTGGGAAGGAGTGTCTTGGAAGCAGCGACCATCGGTACACATTCGGTATTCGGCAAAAGAGAATCATTACCCTGTCAAAGATGGACGACCTCCATGTTCAGTTCGATGTCTACCGTCATACGGACCGCGCTATTTACTTACTATACCGGGCATTATCTTTTTGATAGGACTGACGAACAGCGAAGGGAACATGGTGTGCGGTGTTCGGGCACTTCAGGGGAATTCAGAGGCGTTCGTTTTCAGGACTGAGAGCAAGGAAGCCTCCCGTCAGGCACGAACAGGCACCTTCATCTTCATTGGATCGCTCTTCTCGTACTATGGGATGGGAGGAAGAAAGGCAGCAACAAGGAAGGAAGGAGTTACGAAGTGTTTCATGCGCCGCGAAGGAAGGAACTCACCAACGCATATATGAAATTTTTATCGTGGAAAGCGCGCGTGTCAATGCGTTATCCTCTCTCTATCACAGCATACAGTCTCAGTTCGATTGCCATTTTTTGTTAGCGCGTTAACGATACCTTTGTTTCTCTCTTTTTTTCGTTTACGTTCGTTCGCATTTGGTTCGAAATTTGGGTTCAAATTTCCACGGATATATCTTGTCGAGTGTCTTGTTCTCGTGGTCCGTCTTTTCAAGTTCCCTATCAATATGTTGGCGGGCGCCGGGCAAAGCAAAGCAAAGCAGCAAGGTGAAGTAGGTGCAATTTGGTGCATTTGGTTAATTCCGAACTATACTACTTGTAGGTACCTACGCACATCATTATCAAGCAAACACGATGGTCACTGAACACGCGATATCATTAGATCCTTGCCTAGTTAAATCTTATAGGAAGTAGGCACAAGGAAGGAAGCTGTGACTGACTGGTCCAGCTTTTTCGTTTCCCCTAGTGTACTACCAGGAGCACGCCTGCCTGTCAGCATTGTCTCTAGCTCGTCTGCATCAAGATCACCATCATGATCGTACATTTGCCTTCTTCAGTTGTCAAGACACCAACCGCCCCGTTGTTTTCAAAGAGTCAAGAGTAAAAGACGCTCGGCTTCGAACAACCTGTAGTGTATTAAGTCAAAGAATGGTAATCCGGTTGGTTCATCTAAGCTTACGACGAGCTCGGCATTTTTGTCCCTCCCGCCATGTGAGCCAATCCATCACAGGATCCAGAAGGTTTTGAATATCACAAGTGAGTAACACTCAAAAGAGGATTCATTCAATTAACTCAGGAACCAAAAAGGTATGTACAACAATGAATCAAAAAATGAAAATTTGAAGACCAACTACCGACCGGTAAGCCAAAACCCCACTTATATCATGCCTGTGAGAAATCCATACCTACTCTTCTATCGCTTCTTTTGACTACCCACCACCGATATCACGTCCAGACAGAGACAATGAATGGACTTGATATTGTAATAACCGTTTTCCTCTCTCTATGGCAGTAGACGCCTTTTATCTTAAGTAACTGCACTGCGCAAACCAACCTCCCATTATCCCTAATTTGTATTCAAGGAGCAGGGACGAGAACCCATGGAAGCTCTACCTATGGTAGCCCTTTAATGTGCGCTTCTTCTTCTACCAAGTGCCAGAAGGGTTACTTTTTATACAATCAATTCCATATTAATCCAACACATTACCAGTACCTATCCAAACCGAACCAAGTGGTCCAAGGACTGTACGTGATATCCTAAGTGTATCACTGGCCAAAGGCAAGAAAGAAGAACCATATCATATATCCCTCATCTTGGAAGTAGCATACGCCGCCACCAACGAGCTGATAGCCCCGATGAACATGCACACAGCAATCGCGTTTGGCCCGTCCGTGTTGGCCTGCTCGCTGGGATGCGCGTCGGTCGCCAGCTCCGGGCTCTTGCCCGGCTCCAGGACGGCGAAGACAATGGTGCTCATGAAGGTCGCGATGAACTGCGGGATGGTAGTGTAGATGTTGAGAATGCCAAAGTAGATGCCGCTCAGCTCGCCGGTTGAGCTGTTTCCTCCTGCGGTGGCGGTGGCACTGCCGTCCTCAACAGCGCCGACGCTAGCGCCAGCAGGCTCGTTGACGAAGCGCATCTCAATGGAGCTGGTGGAAAGTCTCCTGTAGGAAGGGTTGCTCGCGACGGCCCCTGGGGACATGGGGTCGGGAGCGCCGCTGAGCTTGTTGACTTCGACTCCTAGGAAAGTGGTGGGCGCCCACATGGCGATGCTCCAGGGGATGCCGCACAGGGCGACCAGGACGGTGGCGAAGCGGAACGAGGCGGCGAAAGGGGTCAGGAACATGGCGAAGGCGAACATGAGGTGGCTGGCGATCCAGGCCGAAAGCAGGTCAGGCTTGTACTTGTTGACCGTCTCGACGAGGCCGGCGATGCTAGCGGGCGGCCGGTGCGTGAACGTGTTGTCCTCGGGTGCACGGATGAAGGGTGGCAGGATCCAGGCGCTGATAAAGGTCACGGTCGAGTATACCGTCAGGGCGGTGCTGCCAATCCGGCCCATGTCGCCCAGGGCGTCGCTCGAGCCCTTGGCGTCGACGGGCACATCGTAGCGGAAGTAGGTCTCACCTACCCAGGTGCTGCTGTAGATAATGAATGGGAACCAGCCGATCCAGGACCAGAAGACTGCATAGCAGATGGCGCGGATGCGAGGAGGCAGGGTAATAAGGGTCGAGACAATTTGGCGTACGACCTTGAAACGACCAGAATGACGACGAGGGTCGGGCCGGACAGTGACAAGAACCCGCTCGGTCACTGCCCAACACGTTACGGAAGAAGTGACCAACATTCCCAGAGCGGCGATGACGGTGAGCTGCTTGAACTGTGTATCTCCCAAAGACGTACCAAAGAGCCCAAGAAGGTCGATCGCTCCCATGCCATAACCAATAATATGCCCAAGGGAACCCATACGACTTGCTAAAGCAGTGTTAGAATGATACGATGCCCAGAAGGTAACCTTTTCCTTAAAAAAAACTAAAAAAACTTACCCCATGCTGCGCCGCTTTGTTGTTTTTGAATCGGCAGAGTATCTACAACCAAGCTTCTCGCGCAAGACATGACTTCAAAGACAACATAGGTTAGTACGATGATGCTGGACCCCAAGGGCACAAGAGTGAGCCTTACCGGCGTTGATGGCAAAGTCAACGCAGTAGAGCGAGAGGACAGCAACAGCAATGGTGCACGCTCTGGAATACGTCGGATCCCAGATGAAGTAGGACACTATCTCCTTGGTAAAGCCCAGGGCCATGAGAGCCAATGCTGTGATGACGGACCCAATAATGATGACAGGCCGCCTCCTGCCCCATTTTGACTTTGACTGATCCGCGATGACGCCTATTATCGGTTGTACTATCAAGCCAGATAAAGGACCGGCAACCCAGACCATCGAGGTTTGGCCCTTCGTAAGTCCCAGAGAGAGAAGGTAGGGCGTACAGTCTGAATAGCACCTGGTTAGCAACTGTCTCCAAACTCCAGGACAATTATCACGGTATCCAATACTTACAGGTCATCTCAACACCCCATGTGAAGCTGTGAACAGCTAAACGTCAGCAACCGCAGATCCTCCGTGTTTGTCTTGTTTTCCGTATATACTAACGTGATGCCAACCGAGACGCATGTCAACAAAAGCATGCGCATAGTCTCCGTACTCCCCTTCACCGATGGCGTCCCCCTCCATGTTGACATTTCGACAATCTCTCCTTCGGAGTCACTACCACTGTTGTTTTCTTGTTCGCCGGAATCCGCCCACTGATTGGGACACAAGCCCTCCTCCTCCTTGCAATAGCGGTCCGATGGCTTTTCCCCTTGGTCAGACGGATTACCCTGGTCTGTCGACAACTCGAAATCGGGAAACGGTGGTGCTGAGGTCGGATATATCGGCCGGGGCCCGAAAAGCACAGAGCTGTGTTCGGGTGTCTTGCCGTCTATAGAAGCTATCGAATCAGTCATTGTGCCGTTGTGATTTAGGACATGGTGGGCGCGCATTGCGTCCATATCGAGGGTCGAGAGAGGGTATGTGCAGTTGCTGCTGCTGCTGCTGCTGCTGCTACTGCTGCTGCTCCCCGATACCGTACGTATGGTGTTCGTCGTGCCCATGGAGTACGGCTTCTGGGTCTTCAAACTAAAGGAGCTCTGGTAGGTTATTTCGCTTACCTAGCAGATGCGCATTACACTAAGCGGGCTGCCTATCCTCAACCGAAAGGGATGGGAAGCGCAATGTGAGGAAAGGTCGGACTGCCGAGCGTGGGATACGGTTGCGCCTACGGTCGTGGATCGTGCCGCATGCGGTTCAGCCGTTGTACACGCTTTCCGTCTCGGTCTCAGTTGGGAATGAGAGTTGGTGCTGTGTTGGGAGCACAAGCGATATCACCTCAGGGCGAATTATGCGGCGCGGCACTCAGTTAGGGAGGGTTGAGATAAGGGATATTGAACGAGGGGATTGAAAAGCAAAGAGTACAAGCAAACGAGGTAGGAAGTGAACGAAGAAAGCGAGTGAGGTGGTCAGAAACGACGGATGTTTAGATCTTCGTTTGTCAAGATGGAAATGTTGCAATTCAAAAAAAAGTGATATGCTTGTCTGTCTTATCAGGGGATGGTGTCAAAGTAATGGAATACTGTCGCCCAGCCCTGCGAGCCCCCTAGAGGTACTTAATGGGGTACGCTGTTACGTATCAGGTACGGTTCCTTTTGTTACCTTTACGTACGGGGTTCGTATAGAGGGACAGCCCAGAGTTGCCCAGAGTCCATTTGGTCGTCGGGAGTGAGCCCCGGCGCGTGGAATTTGGGGGAGGGGGGGAGTGTTGTATGAATAATGGAAAGGGGTGACGTATCCTCAGTGTCGGGAGTTGACAGGGATCTAGGTGGTGATGGTTGCTACGCAGGGGAGAGTCACCGCAGCGCATATAAAGTCACAGCAGGAGATGTCAGTCTCCCGCTTCTGATAACCAGGTATGTAAGCACTTCAAATCCATTTACGGCGGCGTTAATATCTAGTAAAACGTTGCGTTTCTGTCTGCTCCCGTTGTACATACACTTGCACCTGGACCCTGAAGGACCTGGACCGTGGATATCAAATCCGGGTACCGTACATTTGGATGCACTGTCGATACCTTACACAGCACGGTAACTTTTACTTGTGTCTGAGCGAGGGGACATTTCATCTGCACCGTACCTTGCAGATCTGGAACGCGCTCCGACACGTGCTTCAGGCTGAGATTGAAGCAGATCACCGTTTGAATTGACATGGAACATCTTCCGGAAGGATGGGAAAGGGATATCTTCAAGCGGAAACCCAATTAGAGGTTATGACGACAGTGGTACAGCGGTACTTGGCTGCTTAACTAAAATCCGGCCTGGGCCGTTGGCCGTCACTCCGACAGGCCGATATCCGACTTGAGCGGGTCGGGGAGCCCCGCCGCCCGCAGAGCTGTTTGCTGGGAAACCCTCACTGTCCACCAACTGGTCGATCAACGCGGGACGGAACCGGCGGGGGCACCCAGTCACCATCTCTTAGCTCCGATTCAGGAACGTGGGCCTTTTGGTCGCCTTTGCTGGTCGGGCTCCATTGTCCTGGATGCGCCAAATCAGGAAAATTCCGACTTCCACATTGTACCCGTGCATCTGCCCGTCCAGGACAATCTCCATCGTTGCTCCCGACGTCCACTTCCATCCGACCCATATTCCATACCAAGCTACGGTTGTCTAGTGTCGTCCGAGGTATGTCATCCAACCCCGCCAACCCACCTTGTATACTTGAGTCTTGTCCTGGTACTTGACTCTACTGGGATCTCTTCTTTTAAGTCCTGCCCGTATCCAGGAACTCTCTCTTTGTTTTTAAATCGCAGACTCGACTGACTGTTCATCCTCTCCAATTCCAGTCTATATACCCTCGACCGACGCCTACCTCTCTCTCTCTTTGCGACTTGATATACCCAACCTTTTTTCCGTCCTCTACACTACATAGCCCATCATGGATTTGGTAAACCAGTTAGTCATATCCTCTCGACCACCGCTGCCCGAGTTCGATCCGCCTGCCTGTCGCCTTCCATCCCACACCTACAATGGCCAGTAAAAAAGGCACACAAACTGACGTCCTCCAAAGCCTCGAAGGCAGACTTCTTTTCGCCGTCCCCAAGAGTGAGTCACGACATAGCATACCGAGTGCCCGGCCGAATATCTAACGCCACAATCTCTTGCAGAGGGCCGTCTTTTGCAAGCCTGCTTAAACCTCCTCGAGGGCGCCGACATCCAGTTCCGTCGCGAGAACCGTCTCGACATTGCGCTCGTCAAGAACCTCCCCATTGCCCTCGTTTTCCTTCCCGCCGCCGATATCCCCACCTTCGTTGGTGAGGGCCGTGTCGACCTCGGTATCACTGGCTACGACCAAGTTCAGGAGCACGATGCCGGCGTCCGCGCCGCTGCCCGCGCCCGTCGCCAGAGCGGCGAGTGGAGCGCCCAGGACGGCGAAAAGGCTAAGCCCCAGGGTTGCGATACCGTCATGGACCTCGGCTTCGGCGCTTGCAAACTCCAGGTCCAGGTTCCCGTTAAGGGCGAGTACGCCACCGGCAAGGACTTGATCGGTAAGAACATCGGCACCAGCTTCGTCCACCTTGCGCAAGAATACTTTGCCCGTCTCGAGCTGGAACAGGAGGGTCTTGTGGATGCCAATGCCTCCCAGTTGGCCGGCCGTAAGCTCAAGACTCAGATTATCGAGCTCAGCGGCAGTGTCGAGGCTGCCTGCGCTCTTGGTGTTGCCGACGGCATCGTCGATCTTGTTGGTAAGTAACTCATTCCGCATTTCCCGCGCTTCTCCCCAATCCTGATGCAGTAACTAACACATATTCTCCTAACAGAGTCTGGAGAGACCATGAAGGCCGCCGGTCTCATGGCTATCGACACCGTCGTTTCAACCTCCGCCATCCTCATCAAGTCCAAGGCCCCCAGCAACCCGGAGATGGTTGACCTCATCGCGGCCCGTATTGGTGGCGTTATCACCGCCCAAAAATACGTGCTCTGCCAGTACAACGTCGAGCGCACCCGTCTGGCCGATGCCACCAAGATCACCCCCGGCAAGCGCGCCCCTACCGTCACCTCGCTCGAGGCCGAGGGCTGGGTTGCCGTCAGCGCTATGGTTGAGAAGAAGCGTATCGCTACTGTCATGGACGATCTCACCACCGTTGGTGCTACTGATATTATCGTGCTCGACATCCACAACACTCGTGGCAGCAGGGCGTAAGAGGTTGGGAATGGAAAGGGAAAAAATGGGATTTAAAAGAGTAAAATATAAAAATGGAGATAAAAGCGTTTTAATTGAGTATATCTTGAAAAATAGATCATATCTTTGGCCAGACGAAATGATACAGTGGTGATCTTAGCTTACTAGTTCGGCGCACGCAAGGCGACCCCTTTTAGGTAATGAGAAAAGGCGTTGGCGGTTGACATAAGGCCGAGCCGCCGACATCGTGAACAAGTTCAAATCATGTACGCGGGCCAAAATATCCACATAGAAACATGGCGGAAGACCTACAAGCTAACCAATTATTGTCACGGCATCTAGAATCATGGGTTGACGCTCAAGCAGGTGTAAAGATGATGAGGTATTAAATATGGGAAGAAAGGAAAGAAGGATGCGATGAAGCCAGTCTACGTGGGGTGGTCGATCGGAAGGGGTTCTTGTATGCAATAGTGGACGAGATGGAAAAGCCCAGGACTGGATGAAAACTAATGGATCTATTCGGGTGCTTGCATGTTCATCATAATTACGCTCATTCTCACATATACATTGTTATTTCCTTTCTCGCCCAGAAATACCTCCTTAACAGTTACCAAGTCACTACCTGAGGACCACCAAAACGGTCTATAAGCACACAAAAGACAGCCAAGACTGCACTGCACTGCAATGTAAGAAAGAACAATCCGCCAGAAAGCGGTAGAGACAACGAATACCCATCAAGTATATGTACAAAGTGTTACTGAATCGTTCTGTTCCTTCCTCTTACACAATCAAGTACCTAGTTCAAAAAAAACAAGGACATAAGACAGGCCATCTAGTAAATCGGCCTTCCCTCAGTCCACTTCCTGAATCCAAACCTACCACCGCCGCCGGCCCTCCTCGTAGGCGGATGAGTAGGAGTATCATACGTCTGTTGTTGATCCTCCTCCCCCTTCACCACCTGCTGTTGCTGCTGTTGCTGCTGTTGCTGCTGTTGCTGCTGTTGCTGCTGTTGCTGCTGTTGCTGCTGTTGCTGCTGTTGCTGCTCCTCCACCTCAGCCTCAGTCTTGACATCCGGGCCCCAAGAAACTCGCTGGGTGTTGTTGCCGTACTTTAACCGCCTCCTAGCCTCGCCGCCCGTGATCCCAGGTCTGCTGGGTCCGATCCACTCCCACGCGCGGGCGATCTCACCACTGCTGCTCTCGCGCTGGCCGGTGCGGACGTTGCTGTTCTGCTCCACGACGGCGGCCACCTTCTTCCATACACGCTCGCGCTCGGCGAGGCGGTGGACAGACCGGAGCACGTCGTCGCGCAGGTTGGGCAGGAACAAAAAGGCGTCGTCGTCGCCGTCCGATTCGAAGGCGATTTCCTTTTGGAGAGCGAGGCGGTCGAGGACCTGGTCGACCAGACCGGGGATCTGGCGGGCGACGGCGCGGTGGGAGCGGATGGCGTTGCGGCCGTAGATGAGCGAGAGGAGTGAGAGGATCACTCCACCAATGCTGAGTCGATGTCGAGCCAGTCCAAGTTTGACGGATCGGCGGAGCGCGCAGGAGTACGAAAGGCGAGCGAGAGAGCTGGACGATAGCTTGGTGGTTGGAAAGCCGGAGGCACCTCTTTTCCTAGTGGTTCGGAAGCAACCGGTCTGGTCAGTCCAGGCGTGGTCAGAAAGAGTTTTTTTCTTGTCTTTTGTTGTCATAACACAAATTGTTCAAAAAGTGAAATATTTCTTGGGGACTTACTCGTAGTAGGAGTCCGTCACGTGGACTTCAACCTCATCCCGAGCCTTAACTTCTCCCAAGGCCGCGGCCCAAAGTTCCTCAAACTCTTCGGCGGCCATCCGCTTGCTCCGCTTCTTGCTCAGAGACTCCTTAAGCTCTTGCTCGTCGATCGCAGGGCTCTCCAGAGGCTTACCCTCGGGCTCCAAGGGCTCGCCGCACTCGTACTTGGCTCTGCGGTCCCGGAGCTCCTCAACGGCCTTGTTGGCAACGGCTTGAACCTTGCGCGCCTTCTCGCCGTCGGGTTCGCATGTAGGTGGCAGGGGCACAAGACCTCCAAAAGAAAGCGGGTGAGGCTTAAGAACGAACCCTGGCTCGCAACGGGCAATGAAAGCATCGTAGCAGTACGCGTGCGGAGGGCACGGTTCACAGTCGGGTTCGAGGAACGGACCGGCCCATTCCGGGACCTCAAAATCGTGGAGGCCAATCTTGTCGGTTACTTCTGTCGCCCAGTCAGGCAATTTGACACTTCTCCCGACGATCTGGCGCGACTCCCGCCCAAGGCCGCAGTACCCGACCGCAATCTTCTCCTGCCGGTACCAGCCTGCGTATGCGACGATAAGAGTGGTAAAGAGGACCCACAATGGAGTAGTCAGAGGGCTTCTTCCCTTACGACTGACTGGCTTGTTCCTTTGAGCAGCCAGAGCAGGGTTGTCGATCTCCTCTTGCATCAATGCCAGCTGCTCATCTGGAGTAAACTCCTCTCCCGTCTCAACATACGATGAGTCCGCGACGTAGGATGAGTCCGCTACATTCGACACCATTGACATTTCCGAATACCCGGGTGACCTGGGGGTCTTTGGTGTAGATTTGCCATAAGGCAATTGGTATGTCCTGACCGTGGACGTCGAACTAGGCTCGTAGCTCCTGATCGATGATGTCGTGTCGGGTGCCTCTGACTCCTCGTATTGCGGGCCATCCGTTCGTCTTCGCGAAGCGACAGTGGAAGGAGTTCTGTTAAAAGTAGAATCAAAACCGCTCGTTTTGCGACGGTGGCTCGGAGTCTTCATGGCCGACGAAGGGGGCGCCGGAGGGCTCCCGGCCTGGAAAGGGTTGTCATTCGTGAATACGCTCGCGGTCGCGGGGGTTCGCTTGAAGAAATCGTCGTCGGATTCATGCTTAACAGCCGGCGTCGTACGCAAGTTCTTACCGAGCGTAGATGGTGTTTCTTGATAGGACGTTTCCTGGAAAGACGTCTCTGCTTCGTGCCCTGTATCATCCGACTCGGAAACACTCGGCGCATGAGATACGTGCGATGCTGCAGAGCGGGGCACCCTCTGGCTCGTAGTGCCACGAGCAGGTGCTGGCGTCACAGGCGCGTGGCGGCTCTCTGGGACATCCTCCTCCTGCTTGACTCTCGATACCTTGCGCGGCGATCGCGAGCGACGGGTGCTTCGAGAAGGAGGCGGCAGCTCTTGATCGAAGTCGGTGCTCGCGGAGCTCTGAGTGTCAGCATTGACAATACCTTTGCTAGACCTCTTAGCAGTGCGGCTTGCTAAATACTTCTTGGATAGAGGCACCACATGCTCATTGAACAAGTCGACGAGCTGGCCCTTCTTTGCCGTGCTGGGATATGGCACCTGATGGGTGACGAGAATGGAGCGCAGGCGCGGGACGGTCAGCGACCGAGGGTCGAAGCCCGGCTGGAGATAATCAACGTTCTCAACGTCGGACATGGTAACTGATTTGGGACTCGGTAAACAGTTTCGAGAGGATGCTGAAAGAGATGTGAGCGACCGTGTAGCTTCCGGGTGTGGTAGGCGACTAAAGATTGCCGATGACGAGCGTCTACCGAATCGAATGCTGATCGGAGCTGGAAGCTTATCGAGCGTGTCGTCGAATCGTCGCGCTTTTGTTCGACAGCACAAGCAATTAACTTGCTTGCTGTTGGTGGTTTTGGTCTTCAATGAATGCGATGACTGGAGTTCAACAGGTTCCTGTCATGCGCCGACAAGGTTCAATACTGAAGCAGTGAAAGATATGATGGATGAAAGGGAAAAACGAGGAATGTTTGGTTATCGGCCAAGTGGTCAGACACACGCAGGCAGCTCGCGGGAAACAAAAAGTGTAGTGACGAAAGTGGAGAGGTTCTGGTTGTTGGTGGCAACCACAGACGCTAGCAAAACACGACCCTGCCTGTGATCACCCGAAGGCCTCTTGGAAGTTTCGAAACGTCCAGTAAAGCGGTACACTAGTGTTCGAATCAGCACCGCCACATGTGGCGCAGCTTCCTTTATAAGTGCTCCTTTGTGTTGGTGTTCACACCACGGTTCACCTTGATATCATTTCAAGGCATGTCACACGATTACATCACTTCATCAGAAAGTGCACGTCGCAGCTGACAGAAGTCACAGACTGTCATCTCGTTATGGCATCTCGAATTGGAATCCTTTGGCATCGCCACGTTCTAAAACCCAATACCTTTGCTATGTTACCAGTCCTTTGGTCCCGTCCCGAATCCCTTTTTGAACCGCCTGAAACACCGAGCACCAATATTTTTCACCCTACAGCACGAATAATAAATGCCAGAGCCATCGGAAAGCCCTCATGTCACGATGAGGCCATGACACCCGATAAACGAGTAAGGAACTCATTCCTCATCGTCGTCGCTATCCATCACTACAGTTCGCTTTCTCGCTCTGGCATAGGAGGCCGCACCACCTGAAGCTTTCTCTCGAAGTTGGTCTGAGCCATCCCCACTACCAGCCCTTTTCGAAGTCTCGGTGACCTTTACACGTTCTGAACTCCCCGTTCTCTTCCCCGTATCTGCGCCGTCCGTCTGTCTCTTAGCAGACAGAAATTCGATATCAGGCAAGTCGTCGTCTCCGTCAGTGGTGTCCTGGGTTGGGGGTATCTCTACCGGCACGTAAAACGGCTTGGGCTTGGGCTTCTCTGGCCTTGATACCGCTGCGGTTACTGGCTTAGACTGGGATGCAAAGGGGTCGTCATCATCATCATCCGACGCGAAGGGATCTGATACCCGAAGCTTGCGTCCCGTTTTCGAGGGCAGGGAAGACGTGGCTTGACGTTTCTTGGATCCGGCAATGTGCTCGACTTCATCTGCTTCCTGGCCACTCTCTAGGCGCGGCCTCTTCTTTTGCCGTGTCGTTGACGTTCCTCCTTCTGTGTCATCCGCAAAGGGTGGCACGGGTATCGATTCCCAGGAGGACGTGTCTGTTTCACCGTACGGCTTAGTATACCTGTTGGCAGGGCTTTGAGACTTCGCCAATCTCCTAAACAGCTTCAAAGCTCGCTTGTGGTGTTCTCCGTGTTTGACATTAACGGTTTTCTGAACCACTCGTCTAGATGATGAATGACGGTACCAGTCTATATCCAATTCTTCCAGATTGGATTGTCCCAGGGGTACTTTTGTATAGTTCCTGCGGAGCTCGTTTTCTTGCGACTTGCTCAGCAAAACGCTTTCAAGCTTGGGCCTTTCAGCAATGAAGTCAGTTTCCTTGGGCGCAGGTGGTTTGGCAGGTGGTTTGGCAGTCCTCGCTCCAGCTTGACCAAAGAAAGAAGCCTTGATAAAACCTGTCTCAACACCGTCAGGCATATTGAACTTCTTCTTTGCCGGCTTTTTCTTTCTTGCGGCAGACTTTTTGGGCTCTGGGAGTTCTGGATTTTGTGAGTTCTCAAGTGGAATCTCCACGACCTTCTTTTCCACCTCAGGTCGTATATCTCGTGGCACGATACGGGTAGAAAGGTCATGGCGAAAGCTGAAGCGGCTACCGTCGCAGATCATCTTCTGCATGGTTGCGTAGTTGTCCTTCGCCTCGTTGAACTTGTCTTCCTCTTTCCCCTTCATCAACAAGAGGACAATGTTACCCGCTCTTTTGCGGCCGGTACGACCCATACGCTGAAGCATCCGGATCGGTGACGCTGATGCATCGTAGCAAACGATGAGATCCACCTGGCCAATATCAAGACCCTCCTCACCGATGGAGGTTGCGACCAGAACGTTGTAAACACCGTCCTTGAACTTCTGAATTGTCTCAATCTGTTGCTTCTGTTTCATGCCCTCGCTCCTCTTGGAATCCGCTTGTCCGACGAAGACTGTAGCCTTGGTGAGGGGCTGGTTGTTGAGAATCCGTACAATCTCTTCGGCACTGTCTCGGTATTCACTGAATACAATGGCTCTGGTGTTGGATCCTTCGCCGGCATCCATGAAGTGGTTGACTAGCGTTTCGCACAGATACTCCAGCTTTGGGTGCCCGAGAAACCCATCAATCTTCATCCACCCCTCAATCATGTTTATCATCTTCTGGAAGTTCTCGTCCTCGAGGACTTGCCGTTTGAGCTTTGAACCCTTTCCTCCTTTCTCCTCCTCAGTGCTGCGGAATTCGGCCAGATTATTGTAGAACGGTTTGATGCCATGGAAGTTCAGCAGTTTGATGGAATGCGCCAAACTCTGGAGAATCGCAAATGTGGCTATGACACTGAACTTGTTTCCTTGGTTTACGTGTTTACCCGGACCCGCCATCCAGTCATTTCTGGCTTTCATCAAGCCGTAGGTAGTCAGGCTCATGGGGTCCCTGCCGTAGTAGATATTTTGTGAGCTCAGCTTGGTGACAAGGGGTTTCAGGGCCTTCGAGAACAAGTCTCTCACTTCCATCATTTCGTCAGAGGGGTCGAATGTTATTGTGTTAATGTCTCTCGAGTGCACATATTGGCGAATGTCGATCGACTCTTCGGTTCTGATCTCGACGTGAGAAATTCCCAGGTTATCAATAACATCTTGTACGCCTTCGAGAGACGATCCTGGTGTTGCAGTCAGAGCAAGAATCCGAAAGCTCTTGGAAAAGCGTCTTAGGAATTCGACCACCTTGACGTACGCATAGTCTCCGGTCGCACGATGCGCCTCGTCAATAACCAGCAGCACAATCGACTTGGGATCAGCATAGCCCTTGGAGAGGTCGTTCATGAGTGTTTGAGGTGTCATGAAGAACAAGCGTTTTGTCGCCCATTCGTCCTCACGCAGAACAGGAGGGGTCTCTCCAGTTAGAAGGGTCGCCTGAGATCGCGGGATGCCCGCTATGCTGAGACATGCCTGAACTTGTTGTGAAGCCAAAGGTTTCGTGGGGGCCACAAAGACGGCCTTTGCGGTCTTTGTCCAGCGGATATAGTTTAGCATGATGGTCGCAGCAATAAAGGTCTTTCCCAAGCCTGTGGGGAGGGCCACCAAGGTGTTATTGAACAGGCCATTTTTGACAATGCTGAACTGGTAGTCGCGAATAGGCCCAAGATTCATCGGATACACCCATGTTTTCATTTCTTCCAAGTCGATTTCATGGTGAGTGGGCTGTTCTGGGGGCATATCGGCGCGGAATGGTCGATTCGACACCGCTTGCGGAGCGGTTTGCGCTTCCTCCTCCAGTGTGCCACCCCATAGTGTCGTCTGACGCAGATTCTTACGCTGGCTAGACGGAGCTTGGAGTGAACGAGCCGCCGTCGCCGAAGCGGCCGGCTTGCTTGCTGTTTTAGCGCGCCCTCTAGCGGTGGTCTGGCCCTGCGATACAGTTGATGTATCAATCCGTCTCGCGGGATCGGATATTGGCCAAGCTTGTGTTGATGATTTTGCGGACGAAGCAAGCTGATTGCTGTTGCTGGTATGATGTGGTGTGACGTTGCTGGTGGCCTGGGTAAAGGCCAACATCATATCCTCGTCAGGAATATCGTCAAAGTCATCGCCGAATTCATCGTCGTCCATGGCTTCTGCGATGTGAGGTTGTAGGAATGAAAGAACAGCAGGAGCTTGGTTGGGGTGCGCCGTTGCTTGACCTGTTGCAGTTTCTTTTTGATATTCTTTTTCCTTCACAAAATGACTGATTCAACGAAGGTTATTTTCTGAAAGTGAAACAATAGGTCACCGTAACTAGTCCGTTTGCATCGGTGATCCGATATCGTTACATAACCCCGGTAAGTGAGGTCACGGTGTGTGAATAAGGCAGGACGCGTCGCTGTTAATTGATGAGTTATCCCTTGACGCGTTCAATCGCCATAGCACGTGAATTGGTGTAGGCGGTGCCTGGGCGGCTGGGTGCTGTCGCCTGGGGGAGTTCGCAGCAGAACAGCCCGCGTCACCTAGAGTGGGGCTGTTGCATCCTGGGTGGGGCAGGTTTGCGTCAAAAATCCGATGTCCGTCTCTTGAGGCCCGCTGGAAGCCTGGCGCACTGGACTGGTCGGGGCTTGGCTCACCGTGACTGACTGCCTTGCACGCTGCTCCTCCACTGCCGCCGCTAAGGTATTTCCTTTTTGGAGGCCGGGGCGGGCTAAACCTTCTTTCTTCTCCAATCCGTCATCGAAACATTCTTCAACACCTGCACTTCTCGACTCTCGCGTCGTCAGGTGGCATTCGGCATCCAACCTCCTCTTCACTCGGCTCCCGACCGGCTGATGACTCTTGCCCATCCTCGTACTTGCCCGTTACTCCAGAGGTAGCAGCTTCCGTACGAACATTGAAACAAGCGACCACGAGCGAAGCGGCAGCCTTCTACTTCAACCTCCGTGCCATTTAACCTCCGCCGCGCGGTCTTTGTCGCCCCACCTCCAAGCATCTCTTACTTTTCTCTTTTACATCAAAAAATCCCTTTCGAAAGAAGAGAAGCGCATCTACCTTCCAAGCTACGTGTTCTTTGACACCTCTTCGGACACTCCAACTACGGCGTCTGAAACCACCCAGCGATTACCTCACCAGGTCGGCATTGGCCGCCTGTTTCTAGCAGGCTGCTCTCCCGCCTGACGGTGAAACCAAAGGTAAGCCTCGGTTCTACATTCAGTACTCTTCACCAGTTTTCGATCACGACCGGAACCCTGACCACGAGGACAGCGTAGAGCTCAGCGAACAAAGCTCAGTGAACAAGACCACCCCGCAACTCCACGACTCATCGTCCTCTCAACAACAACTCAGCGAGAAAGAAGAAAAAACAGGGGAAAAAACTCACCCGCAATCCACAACACCGTTCTCTCTTCAGACCCAGCCAACATGGCGCCTCCTACTGGTCCTCGTGCGGGCACCGGAAGGGCTCCTCCTCGTGGACCCCGAGCAACAGGCGGCGGCAGTGGTGGTGGAATCCAGAAGCGTCGCGCCAACCCGAGAACTGACCGAGATGGAGATGTGTCGATGGATACTCCGGCTGGTGGCTCTGGCAGGGGCGGGTCGGCTTCCGGTGGTCGAGGACGTGGCTCCAAAGATGCCCGTGGTGGAAGAGGTGCGGTGAACTCCCGGACATCATCCCGGGTTGTGCAAAACCTACAGAACTACGTTAGCGGAGGTCCCGTCGGCAAAACACAGTCCAAAAATATGGCAACACTCAAGATTCACGGCATGAGCAACAGCAAAGCCACCGGTAATCCCGATGGAGGGCTGCGATCCCTTCTCACCTTTCTGGAACGAAAGGCTTCAAAAGACAAACCAATTACAATCGGCAAGGTATATTCTCCCATCTATGGACCTCCCCAAGCGCGCGATATTTGCAACTACGATAAACGGTGTGTTCTAACCCATCAATAGAGCATTGTGGACGGTGATTATGTTTGGATCACAGTCAGGAAGGATGATGCCCCGGAGATCTTGAGGCTCAACGGCTTCACCTATGCCGGTGCACCCCTGACGATTACGGAAACCTCCGAGAGGATGCCTCGCCCCGAAGACAAGATTTCCAAAGCTGCCGAGGAGACCAAGCAGAAATTGACTTCTGTGCTAGCTAGGCGCTACAATCCAGAGTTGAAGCTGCTTGACTTATCTTCTCTTGGCACAGATGCTATCCTCAGCAGCATGGGCACCTTTAATTCCAAGGATCTGGCCGAAAAGGCCTTCAAGGTCCTGGTGGTTCTTGCTAGTCAACAGTACAAGACCGCTTCCGAAAAGCGGGAAGGCATACAAGCCGTTTCCCTTGCCAGCAACGGCCTTAACGACGTCGTGCAGGTCTTCGACCTTGCTAAGTCACTCCCCGATATTAAGAGACTTGATCTCAGCAGCAACAATCTTGACAGTCTGTCCAAGATCGCGAAATGGCAGCATCGCTTCCAGCATCTCGAAGAGCTCCATCTCACAGGCAACCCCATCACAACCCAGCCCGACTTCGTGGCAGAACTCATCAAATGGTTCCCATCGCTCCAGAACATCAATGGACAAATTGTTCGCAGTCCAGAAGAAGTTGCCGTGGCCCTCAAGGGTATGCACCCTACGCCACTGCCACAGTTCCCATCCAATCTCCGGGACGGAGAGGCCAACGTGGCGAGCATCTTTGTCCAAGTATTCTTCCCCATGTTCGACACTGACAGGGCTCGCCTCGCTGCCGAGTTTTACGATGACGACTCGTGGTTTTCGATCCAAGCCATCGCCAACTCGGGTCGTAACCTCCCCTGGAAGACATACCTTAAATACTCTCGGAACGTTCACAAGCTGGGAGAGAAGAACCCAGCAACGGTGCAACGACTCTTCACTGGTGGAAATCTGATTGCGGACATGTGGAAGGCGCTCCCCAGTACTCGGCATCCAAGCATGGAGAACCCAGGTGCATGGCTAATCGACTGCCACACCTTCCCCAACCTCGCAGACCCTACCGGCCACGGCTTCGCTACGGGATTGCTCATCACCGTCAATGGCCAGTTTGAGGAGTCCGATACTACAGAAAACCTTTACGGCAAGCGCACCTTCACGCGCACCTTCATCCTCGGACCTAGCAAGCCGAGCAACCCCCCGCCGGTGCACCCATACCGGGTCATTAGCGATCAACTCACACTTCATGACTGGACACCCGCGGAGTTACCTGCTGTACAGGCCCCTGTCATCAACCAGGTCCCGCAGGCTCCGGTTGCCAACGCCATGCCTCCAGCAGGACCTGTGATTCTGGACGACGTTACAAAGAACCAGCTCATTCAGGAGGTCATGAAGCGGACTGGCATGACGGCAGAATACTCGGAGTTGTGTCTCAGCGGCACTGCCAACTGGAACTTTGAGCTGGCACTCAAGTCATTTGAGGAGCAGAGGGCGAACCTGCCACCCACGGCATTCATCAACGCTGTCTAGGGGACAGCAGAGGCCACCAGCATTCGTATCGTTTGTTAGTTCATGGTGAATCAGCGCCAGTAAGGCAATAACCTCTACTTTGAGGAGTTGGAGACTAAGGAAGAAGAAAAATCGTGAAAAGCCAAGGAAAGCAGGAGGGAAAGAAGATGGGAACGAAAAGGGTTGTTAAGCTCGACAATCAACTTTGTACAATACTTGCATTGCATATTACCTCAAGGGAGCAACGGAAATGGGTCGGTTAGCGGAATTCTTATAGGGCGGTCACTTGACAGCATGCTTTTTCAATTTGATACCTGAAGCTCTTTGGGACTTTGGCCAAAGAGCTTCCATATTTACGAATTTCATCATCATGGTCTCTTCTTTTACTGATTCGGCGACGATGCCTCTTGGTGAAGAATGCTTGAACATGACTGTTACACAAACCTTTATGTTACATAGGCCCAGTACCCTCACCACCACGAAAATGTCAACCACGGGTGTGATGAGTAGGAAATCACAAAGCTAATGAGATCTCAAAGCCGCGCGCCATTCTACGATTGGGTTCTGGTGGTGAACACCTGATGCTTTCTCCGTCATGCGAAGTTTCTTTCTTGAATACCTACTCCACTGCCATCCCGGCAGCTGATCGGTACCTGCATCTGTCGATCTCTCATAGGGCGGCTTTGAGCTTTTGGCGAAAGATGCTGAGTGGCTCTGATACGCGTGAGCAGTCATCACCTGCTTGGCCTCGCCAATGGGCGGCGGCAAGAGCTTCATCGGATGGGGGTGAAGTGGGCTGTGTGGGCGGGCGCTTATTGATTTGGGTTTTTGTCACGATGTGAAACGAAAAAATAAAAAAATAAAACGACATTTTCTCTCCAGTCAACTCTGAGTGAGAAGCCAAGAATCATTTTTGGTTTTACATGGGGAATGACGTTCAACTTGTGTTTTTGCGCTTTTCGCTTTCCGCTTTCCGGTGATCTGTGATCGGTTATCTGTGATCGACGCTCTATTCTAGTGTAGTGTAAGACGTGCGTATGTAATCAAGAGATGAGCGGGGACCTGTCATTCTTCAAGCCTCTTTAATGTTGAGCCAGGTTGTTTTGTTTTCCCCAGAGCAAGCCCGCCGCGTTCATTCCATTCCATTCGTCGTGGAAGTTTGATTTCTATTGATCCTTTCCAGACGCCAGGACGCCATTTTTTTCGTCTCGCATTGCATTCCCGCTCATGTTGTGCGGCACGCAAAAATCGTGTACACACTAAGGAGCGTGTGTGTAAGTTTGTGTGTGAGAGAGACGACTGTACATGTCGTGTAGGTAGATGAGAATAACCTCAAGGCAGGAGCCGCGAGATCGGCGAAGATTTGGAGAGAAAGTAGTCTGGGTAGTAAAAACAGAAGCACCTCAGTGCTTGGCCAAGATCCTCAAATCACACAAACTCTCAGAAGCTGAGAATGGAGCTGTTTACTTGTCACATTCCCCTAGCAACAGGAGTTTGCGCGCAAGCCTGTCGACAGCTAGGTGATGGCAAGTTCTCAGAAATGCATCTTCTCAGGTCTTATTGCCATGGCATGTTGGCCACCAAGACTTTGTGATGGCGCGCATCCATTCCCAGGCCGGCTGCCAGGCTGTGTTGCCCAAGGCCCCAAGGTGATGAATGTAAATAACAACTTTGAAGGAAGACGGGATATGCAGTGAACTTCTTGACCTAGCACGACGACTTGGCCATGATCTTGCAGTCCAGTTTTATTCAGGAACCGTGGCACCCGTCACCCACACACGCACTGCGCCGTCAAAATGCACAACACTTGCATGTGCAAAGTTCCACGATGGGAAGGTCGTGTACCTCGTTATAGCATAGAGATAAATTGCTGACAGGCTCGCTCGCAAAAAAATGGCATTGCAAATTCGTATTTCGAGATTGCGTTGGTATCATGGGAATTTGCAGAAAGAGGCAAACGTCATCTTCTGGATATTAAGTACATTATCTGACAATTGTAAAGGTCCATAACTTCCCTGAGGCTTTGAGGGTTTGCTTGCCTCTTGGTTAATTGCTTTGCCGATCTTGCTTGCTTGGCTGGAAGGCTGCTTGCTTGTGCTTGCTCGGCCTGTCCCCGAACGGTTCATTAAGGGGGCACTCTTGGTCTGTGCAAATAATGATACGATACGATACGATGGGATGAACTGGTGGTTGGTTTGGTGGTGGTGTTCCATCCATCTCCGAAAGCTCGAGACTTTCTCAGTGTGACAAATGAGAAAGGATGATGTGAAAGAAAGTGGAAAAGGACAGGCGAAGAAAATGGACCCCACACTCCCACACTCCACTGAGGGTGTGCTCCACAGCGGTCCTGCCAAGACCGTTGGAAGGTGGAGAATTCGCCAGGGACGCACCAGGAAGGTGGTGCTCTGTGGTGTTTCATGTTCTGGCGAGGGGAAGTCGCGGACATGGGCACGAGGCAAAGGTGAAGGAGCCAAAAAGGAGCGATAGCAGCGAGTGAGGCTTCCATGCACCAGCAGGGGCAGAAAAGGAACAGAGGCGACAAGAACCAAGAGATTATTTTTTCAGTTCTCAGACGAAGCCCAGTTGGCAATGAGGAGTTCGTCGGAATGATTGCCTGAGTTCGGCTCCGGTTTTTCTTGTCATTCTGAGCATGGGGCATGGGCGTTGACTGCGCTCGGATGCTTCTCAACCTCGCATCGACTTGCATGCTGCAGTTGGTTGCTTCGCTCTCGCATAATTCTGGAAGGAGATGCTACACCACGGTGAGAACATGGTCAAAACATCGATATATCTCACCACACTAAACCACCCGCAACGGCATGGCGATCTTGAACCAGAATTCTTTTTTTCGGAGCTCGGATCTGGATGACAGGCAGCCTATCGACGTGAATGTTTGACGAGTCCTGTTGATTTTGTTCGCTGAATGTTTGTCATTGGTCCTGATCACGACTCTTCTATGGTGTACCGGATTGCCCGTTCCAGTCACGATGGATGGAGGCCGTTCACTTGTTCCAGGGTCCTTTCGCCTCTTTTTGCACTGCATCCCCATCTCCACCTGCGAGGAAGCAGGTCCCAGACCCAGCCGCATCCCGGTCTAGCATCTGCGGAGAACATCCACAGCCCATCCTGATAATGGATCAGATATTCCAACGACAGATAGTCCGTTCTCAACACTACCTAGTCATAAAACCCATCACGCACCACTGCACACCATGCCTCTGGGCGAATACACAGAACACGCAAGCTCGCCAGTGACAGGAAGGCTGGAAATGTACCCAAGCGCAGCCGAGGTAGCAGCTGGTCTGCTCAGAGTTACCCAGAGTTGCACTGCCAATTTTTCTGTTTGCGCCTGAGCCCCTTTTCATACCACTTTGATGTACTCAACTGTTTCTGACATGTCCCGTCCAAGACCGGCTACCTCCCCCCTGGCCCTGGCGCCTATGCAATCCCAGGTACCCCACGCGAAACGATACGCGCAACGGATCAAGAGTCCCCTGCCAGGCACTGCGCCGTCCCCTGCTCGGTCCCCTGTCCGGGCCCCCCATTGGCGCCTCTGATTCGCCGACTTTCACAGAGAGCGCCATCTTTTCCCTCCCTGCCAGAGTGCCAGATGCTCCGAGTGGGCGAGTGCCTCGTCCGCACAATCTCCCCCATTCTCGTCTTGGTCCAGTCGTTCCATTGTCTCGGTCCTTTCTGTGCCGTCCTTCTCGTCGAGTCTCTACCGTCTCTCTCTCTCTCGACTCTCCGTCCGTCAGGCCTGGTCTCACTACCCTCTCTCCTGTTCTTTTCGCGTTTTTGCTGTTTGAGATCCGGTTTGTGGTGCTCGACCCGACTCCCTCCTCCTTCTCCTCCTCGAAGGAAAAGTTTGCTACGAGACCTTGCCTTGTCTCACGCTGAATGAGCCCATGAAATATCTCCTTGCATCTGCTTGTACGACGACAACAACGACGACCGACGCTAGCACAGAAGCATTAATGTGCCAGAGGGCTTGCGAGTACCACCAGATTTTAGCCAGAGTGGAAACTGACCAGATTCAGTCCAAGAGTCCGCTTCATATCCCCCGATCCTGCGATACAGAGTTACAGACCCTCGTTTCTTTCCGCAACACAACCTGATCCGGCCACCTGCGAAAGGCCCTCTCTGTTTCCCCATCTTCCTTCTCGGAAACATCCCACAGGTGTTCTGTCGATCAACAATTCTCCTTTGATCCGACAAGGGCCGACCCTCTTCGACTTCCAGAACACATCATTCATTGTCCTCACTTTCTCTTTGACCAGAGACTTACTCAACATCGTCACCTGTCACTCATTTTCTTTCATCATTCTCTGCGAGCTCATCATGTCGCTATAGCCGGCACAAAAAAGATACATCAGCAAAGACACTCTTTCCTCCGACCCGACAGATTCACCCTAATATCTACATCATTCTCCCCGTTCCGTACGGGGAGATATCTGCCATAACAGCAAAATGACCCTCCCCGAGCCGGAGGTCCCGTTGACAAATGCGTGCGCCGTTGTTTTCGAAAACACGCTTTATACCTACTCGGCCGACGCGTTCCAGTCACTATCGTTAATGCCAGGCGCGAAGTGGAAGAAGTTGGACCAGGGCGAGAAGGTCACGGGCGGCGTTTGCGTAGGAGCGACAACAGGCACGGCAGCGACATCTTCACTCTTTGTCGTTGGCGGAAAGGGACAAACGGAGGGCTACCAGGGTATCCAAAAGTACTCGTACTCGACAAAGAAATGGGAGTCTATCCAGTTACCAGCCCCGGTAACACAGAATCGGTTGCTACACGGCGCCGTCTATCTTAACGCAACGGATTCCATCATTGTCTACGCTGGCAACCAGGATGGTTCAACTGGCCCATCCACGCAGACATATGCCATCGGCGCGTCGGCACCGCATTATGTTCGATCGTTCGAGGCCAACGTACCGCCTGCTATCAACCCGATTCTTTTGCCATGGTCGGACAGCGAGGCTGTCATGGTCGGCGGCAGCACCTCGAACACGCAGGTTATGCTATTTAAGCCTGAGACAGGCTGGAGGGACTCGGGAGCAACTCTTGCCGCGCCGATAGCGAAGGACACATCAGCGATCAAGGCGGCATTGGTGCGCGGCGATGATGGATCACAACACCTTTTCACCTTCGACATGACACAGTCACCCAACGTAGTGCAGCGGATATTATTGACTACTGGTCCCGAACAACCTATTCAGAACGCTGGGCCAGCAAAGAAGCGGGATGTAACAACACAGGAGGACGAACAATCGCCCAGCGGAAAGAGAGATGTGCTAAACGTGCTGACCTGGCCGCAATACAACGCGACTCTGGCGCCCACTAGTACGAGGAGTAATTATGCGATTGCACAGGATGGTAATGGGATGGTTGTGTTCGTGGGAGGAAATTCGGAGGAGCCTTTGGGCATGTTCAACGCCAAGGGCAACTCTTGGTATAATGCGACGGACATGTTGGTGGAAAAGAAGGTGAAGGTTCTCGACATCACCTCTTCGACAATCTCGGAATCATCAACAGCAACTTCCACGACTGCTTTGCAGACGACCTCTACGAGTCTGGCGACGTCAGAAGCACCGACGACACTGGTCACCGCCACGGGCACCCTCACCACAGCTTCCTCGGTTTCTCCTGTCAGTGTTGCTACTGCAGCTGTTAGCAGCAGTGCCGAGGGTCCGAAAGACTTCAGTTCCAACACCCATATTATCCTTGCTGCGGTGTTGAGTTCAATCTTTGGACTTGCCATTGTCTTGTTTGCCATCTACTTCTGTATCAAGAGGAAGGGTAAGCAGCAAGCACGCAACCAGGCAGGCCGTGCAAGGAGCGGGAGCGAAGGATCTGGAGGATCTGCGTACAACGAAAAATCTGATTACGGATTCCCTCCAGATACGAAGGGTCCCTTCCGTGGACAGGGACACCAGGCCCAAGATTCATATGGCTCCTTGTCGTCCCTGGCTATGATCGGCGGTCGTGGGAACCAGCAGAAGCCGGGCCGTTCATCGCCTGGCCATAAGCTAAGCATCAGCACCGCCTTTGGCAAGCGCAACTCGGACGACAGCACCTTCAAGGCATTCAAGAGCACCATCAGCAAGCCGATCCCCGTTTCCCAAACCATCTCCGCTGAGCCACCACAGAATCCATTCTTGGCACCACACGAACGAGAAAATAAGGAAGTCTCTTTCGCACCCACCCCAGCTCAGCCGATGCCACGGAATCCTGCAGCGGCTGCCACCGTAGACCCCGAAACTAGGCGCAGCTCCGGATGGAACCGCTACTGGTCCGGCGGCTCGGCCCTGAACGTGATCGGACTCGGCAACAACACCAACAGCGCCGTGGTCAACCAAGTCTCCCAGCGGACCACCGTGGTCTCGGACGTGAGCTCCCACTACAGCGAGCATCCTCAGCACAGAATGACTCAGGACAGCGCGACAGTGCCCCCGCTTCAGGTCTACGAGCCACGCATGTCCATCAACCGCGTCAACTCGGGCAGCCCGACCATCAGGCAACACAACCACCATGACGAAAAACTCTACGAGGGCATGAGTGGCCAGATCGAGATGCCCCGCCCCGTTAGCGGAGTCAGCTCCATCTCGGGTTACTCGAGCGGTATTCCCGCTTCGGTCCACGATACCTGGGACCCGACCGAGTTCACGAAGCCGTGGGGCGCTGATCGCGCGCCTAGCAGCGCGTATAGTGCTAGTATCTACACCACGCCTCTGGCGCCTGCCGGCGGGAGGGCGCCGTCCCAGCTTGCCCACCAGCAGTCACAACAAGGACCACCACGGCCGGGTCAGCAGCAGATAGTGCGCGATGACATTAGCTGGCTCAATTTGGGAGATCAAAATGGCCGGTGATCGGGTGTGCTTCCGTCTATCCCTTTTCTCCTGCACCAAAAAGTCTGGCCAGCTGCTTGTCTATGGTCGTTGTTCTTGTTTCTCTGTCATCATTGTTTGTTTGTCTGCTTTTCTCGTCACTCATTCTTCCGGCTGTCCCGAAGGATAAGATCACACTCATATCCTGTAATCGCGGCGGATCTCGGGTTTACCTATTTTTTCACAAATGTTTCTGTTGTTGTTCGTTTCGCCCCCTTTGAGCGCGCGCGTGCGGTGCACTGCACGTATAAAATGGTTATGAACAACACGCCTACGCCATTAACGAACGAAGAGGAGGATGGGGTGGGATAGGGAGAAAGGGGGAAAGAATTGTATTGTCTGTCTTGTTTTGATGCCTGTGTGTCTGTCGTTTCGGATACCCTGTTAGTATTTGTTGCTGTTTGTTACGGCGAAGGAAAGAAAGCGGTCTTGAGCGGATGTTGTAGTTCTAGGTCTGAGTGAGACGCAGGTGGAAGGGAAGAAAGAAAGATGGTCATGTTGTTGTCAAGTTAGTCCATGTAGGTTGATCCGGCATCATTCATCATCCCATCATCACTAAAAGTCAGTCTGGTTTTTTTCAGTCGTGTTGTCTAAGCTCATGTATATTCGTTCTTCCGTCTTCTTTTCTCTTTTTCACCAAGTTGATTTTTGTTGAATTTGTTGAAATTTCTTTTTTTTTTTCCTTTTCGTCGAGCAAGCATTTTGGTAATGCATTACCTTACCATTGTCGACCCGGGTTTGGTCACATTTTCTCTTCTTCATCTTCCATGTCAGAGTAGGCGTAGCGGGCAATACTACATTTCCATACTAAAACTACTATTCAATCCACTGGAGTGAATGCAGCTTGGTGAGTCAAGGACAATAATATCGTGAGACACTGCTACGTATACTCAATCACGGCTCAAGTTGCCCGGTCTACCCCATCCCCATTCAATTCAAACTTTGGTACCTGTCTAGCAATCCTTGTGTGTCAGTCTCCCCGTTGTGTTTCGAATTACGATTGCGTAACAAGATCTCGGTTTCCTTAAGGAAAAAGACGTGGGTGGGCTGGCTGTCAGTGTTAAGCGACTCAGGTCTTCTATGCACATAGAACTGAGTCCCCTTAAAGCACATAACCCCCATCTTGCATCCCTTTATGGAACCATTGTATCCCATTTACATAGATTTCCGAGAGTTGTCACGATCCGAACTCTATGCAATTCCAGGGGTTTCTACTATATGTATGTATGTACGTGCTTCTGTGACCACCAACGAGGATCCAATGGGGTTTGAGGAGGCGCACGATGTTATGCACAATGCATCTGCTGGTGGGACCCCCACCATTCGAACATGGGACTGCGTGGAATGGTGCGGATGTGTGAATCTCCTTTGGCGGTTGTTTCTTCTGTTCCATCCAATGGTCATCTGTCCTGCGTCAAGCTGAAAGTTCAGAAACGCATCTGGCAGTTTGATGGTTTCTTTCTTTAAAGCTTCGAAGGTTCGGATGTCTTGTCTCTGTAGAATGCTTCCGATAAGGTCCAGTGCTCCGTCATATCTGGATAGGATCATGATGGACCTTTCTAGACGAATGTACCTACCGACCTTCTACCAAGCTATCTCTATTAGGCAACTAAAAGCGCAAGCGAAGAGCAACGTCAGATTTGACAGCTTCCCTTCCCACGTGCCTTCGATTCGCAAATTCGATTTCTCGTCACATTGAATAGAAAGTGGAATGGATCTGGAAGGTGTCACCTCACCTAGCTTCCTAGCCCGTGAAGCTAACAGTCGGCCCCACTTCCTAAGTAGTCCGGGAAACCGCCAGCGTTGCGGACCGACGAGCTGAGGTGGAGGAAGGAGTGCTCGTGTTGAAGCGAGGTTTATAGCAGCTGTCTCGCTATTTGTTGATTTTTGGTTTGAAAAGGGATAGTGAGTGGGAAAAGTTTGTCAGATGTCAGACGGTTCGGCGTGTTGTCCAGGCCGGGGTCCCCTCGTTTTTTACTTTTGGCTTTTGGGGGGGGGGTTTTATAGCGTCAAGTTTATCGGCTCGTGCTAGAGAGTATCCAACGAGTCGGCGGGGGCGGGCGGAGTCTAGATCGACCCTTATTCTCTGCCTTCTTTCCCCCACTGCGAGTGGAGGAGACGCTGGGACGCCCGGGCATAGACGCTGTGACAGTGGTGAAGAGTCCCACACCGGGTTACCTAATACTTCTTCTATCCAACCGACAAGAGAGCGTCGACGGATACCTACACTCAAGACTTCTCTATCCATACGCATCCATCCAAAGGGTCCCTGGGAGAGCTACCAATCATTGGCGCACATCTTTGATCATCTTCCGCCGAGTCGCGCAAACCTGATCGCAAGCGAGCCCGAAACCGTTCGTCTTCGGCAATCCATCTCGGGTCCTTGCTAGGGTACCGCCAAATTACGGAGTCACCAAGACGGGACTCACCTGGCCAAGCCTCAAACTCTTTCGAGACTATACGGCCCTTCCAAGCGGTCATCCGTCATCGCACTGTCGATCAATAAACTGCAAGGCAACTCTAGCAGCACCGGCTGAGAAATCCAAAATCTGAGCGAGATTCCTAACAGCCTGGCCTGGCTTCGACGTTTCTTACGTCGGTCGACTCTCAATTGATCACCCAGCAGCCCAGCCCCGTCTCAAAACTTACTGGCCTGCCTCCGCTACTCCAGACGAGAGGCACCCCTAGCCCCGTACCCGTTCCCGTACCCGCACCCGCACCCGTGCCGGACAGCCGGCCGTCCCCGAATAATCTTCAATCCGGACTTCACATCGAACAAGGGCCCCGGAGGGCCTAGCCGGTGGGCGTGATGGACTCCTCGTCGTGGAGTGCCCCGGACCACAGTCACAGTCACCATCAGGCCCTGCATACGGCAGCCGACGATGACTTCCACCAGTTCTTGGATATAAACAGCATTGGCGATCTCTCTGGCGCCTTGAACTTTGACTTCCACGACTTTGCGACCGATCACCATCCGGGTCACCATGCTGGCCACCATGGCGCTGACCATCTGCTCCATTCTTCGGGGGGTGAACACTTGGATACCCCCATGACCGGTACTGACATGTCCATGATCTTGTCGCCGGTAGACCACGCCATGCTCCAACATCATGCGCAGCAACAGCAGCATCAACACCAACAGCAGCAGCAGCATCAGATGCCCACCATTACGACGACTGCCCCATACCAGAATACCCCGACGACCTTGATACAGCCATCTACACCCTCGGAGGCCGTCCTCAACTCCATCGATGCTCAGATCCAGTTCCTCCAGCAGCAAAAGCTACATGCTCAACACCAGCAGTTGCAAGAGCAACAGGCCGCCTTCTTTGCTTCTCAACAGAACCACATAGTTCCTCCAACACCTCAGAGCTTGGAACTTACTGCTGGCTCTAGCCAGAATTACTATGCCCAGTCGACACCATCTGACCAGCACAACTCCGGGCGACAGCAGCAGCAACCGCAGCAACAGCAACGGCAGCAGGCCATCGACTACAGATACACAAGGATCAAAGACCAGCATGATGTAGGTCTAGAGAAGTCTGTGCTGTCCAAACGAGTAGCAGGTTTCGCTGACCAACCGTGACAGATGTCCTTCACCCCATTGGTATCACCGGCTGTCACGCCGCTGGAGACCCATTTCCCTGTCGATACGCCTTTTGCCGTTCCCGGAGCCTACTTCAGTCCCCTTACCTCGCCAGCCTTGCATGCGCAAAATGACTCTTTGGGGATTATCGACCAGAGGCTGGGCATGATGAGCGGGAACTCGCCCAGAGAGATGGAACTCGAACCACCTGCGCTCTCCCAGGCGAGCGTTAGCCCAGGCGACTTGGCTAGGAAGATGCGCAAGAACGCAGTGAAGGCCAGAGCGAAGAGCGGCGCCGGCATCAAACAGTCTCCCATCTCGAAACCCATACGCAGAAAGACGGCTACCACCCCGATGCTTAACCCCCAAGCTTTGAACCAACTGATCGAGAATGCAGCACCAAGTCAGGAACGCCAACAGCCTCCTATGCCGTTAATACAGACTTCATCTTCGTCCACAGCTGGTGTAACTGATTCTGAGAATGGATCAATCTCCCCTGAGAACCTCAATGATGTTGTCTCGCCAGTTGAGATGCCTCCGCCACCCCTTCCGAAGCCTCGCTCCGCCAAACCATCTCCTTTTCTGGCACCTCAAGCGAGTAATAGTGCTGTGCCTATTACCCTCCAGCCGGGACGACCTGGAATTGCCTCACCTGCAACACCGGCGTCACTGATGAAACTGAGCTCGCCGAGCAATCGTAACCCTTCTGCGGCAGGAACTGGGTCTCACGATCCAATGGATGCCGACCATATCGAAACCTTTGAGCTCCCGGATTCCATCAACTTCTCGTCAGTACCAAAACCCGCCCCTATAATCACCACTCTTGGAACACCGGCTCTCAATCCTCTCCAAAATGCCGCGCCGCCTCTACAAACACCAGGCCCCCCACCACCACCCTCTCCTGCGGTGGCCAAGCCTCTAGCACTTCCTTCCGCCGCTCTTCCCAGCCCGAAGCTGAAGCCCGATACCGCAAATAGCTTGAAACGGACACCCCAGCTTTTGCCCATGGGAAGACACAGCAAAAAGCGCGCGAGCGTGAGCTCGATCCAGATGTCCCCGGCCCTTCGGCCCAAGATCTCGCCCAGCATCAAGCCTCTACTACCAGGAGGATCATCAGGCGCCGAAGATGCAGCATCGCTTTTGCTCGCTACGAAATCCAACTACCAGCGAATTCTCGAGGGCAACACCGTTCCTGGCGTTTCCTATCCCAGCGAGCTTTCCACCAACCTCACATCGAAGCGGACGTCACACAAGATTGCGGAGCAAGGCAGGAGAAATAGGATCAACTCGGCGTTGCAGGAAATCGCTACACTACTTCCGAAAGCCCCCGCCACAGAGGGCAGAGAGGGGGATAACGATGGCAATAGCAGTAGCGGTGGTGGCGGTGGCAGCGGGGGTGCTGACAAGGAAGATAAAAATCAGAAGGATAAGGATAAGGCTGGTGGGGGGATACCGAACAGCAAGGCGAGCACGGTGGAGATGGCGATCGAGTACATCAAGCAGCTGCAAAAGGAGGTTACTGAGGCGAACAAGAGGGCGGAAGAGGCAGAGAGGAAGTTGGGAGAGATGAAACTGCACGGCGGTGCCGTGACGGGGTCCAGATCACCCGCTGCTGGTGATGGTAATGGCTCATGTGCTTCAAACACGGAGGCTTACCCGGTCATCAACGGGGACCGGAATGCTGAAGATGGCGGTGACGCGATGGATGAATAAGGAATGACGTGGGGATCGGTTGAAAGAGGTTCAACACACGCACACACGCACACACGCACAGGGGTTATCTTTCAACATGTGCGGCAAATGATAGGTGTACAAAGAGGCGGACGGGTGTGCAAGTGGGCAGTAAAAAGGTTGATTGTCTTTTGGGTATAATCATGCGCGTGTTTAAAATGGGCAAAATTGGTCCTGTTTTCATTATACAAGCAAGGTACGTTAACATGTCCCGTGGGTGGGTTCTGGAGATTTAATCAAAAACGAAAGCGGTTTGTGTCGGATATACCCCCCCCTAAATAGGAGTACGCAAATAGAAATAATTAGGGAGTCATGATGAGCGGGAGGATGGCACTTGACGGGAATAGGATTACACCAGATTATCGTATCTGTACTGGGGATGATGTTTGGGATTGTCCTAGAGAGATGTTTGGCTTTCTGGTAGTAGGGTGCGTGTCTGTGTCATAGCAAAGTGCTTGTCCGGTCTTGCCCATGCGGATAAGGTGAAAGTTGGATGAAGGCTCGTCATATCGTCTACCCGTTCTAAGGCCTGACCAACGCCACACTGAGAAAAGGGCTCGTGGTAAATCATATGATGTCCAGTTTTTATCGCACAGGTTGATCATCTCTGTTTGGAAAAGGAGATCGCTTCATCTATCATATGCAGCGGTAGGGGAGATGTGGGAAGATATATGAAGAAGGATTTACTTGAATCAACATTCCTCCCTACCCCATAGCGTCTTGAAAACTGAATCTTATATCCTCTTTACTCCCGTTTGAACATAACAAGCAAACCACTTCACGAACACGAGCAAGCAAGCCATTAATCCCCAAGCAGCAGCCATGGACGCACAAAAACCAGGAGTTCCTGGTTCAAAACCCCCAAGCAGAATTCCTCCCACGTCTTCCACGCCGGTTATTAACTATTCACGACCTCTTTTTGGCCATTCACCCTCCTCCAATAACAACAGCAGCAAGCGACCAACTCGAGAGGAGAAGGGGAAGGGCAAGGGCAAGGGCAACGAGGTGGTGGTTATGGAAGGTGAACGACAAGATATCTCGGGGAAGAACCAGCCCCAGCCCCAGCTTGAGTGGAGAGATGAAGATGATGGTTATGAGGAGGATGACGAGGAATGGGGAGGTGATGAAGAAGATGAGAATGACGAGAACGACGATAACGATGGTAACGCAAAGGTAGAGGAAGAGGAAGAGGAAGAAGAGAGTGACGATGAATACACTGAACTCTTCCAGGTTCTGGCAAATATAGCGAGAATGAAAGCTTTTGATGAAAGGATGAACAACAACAACGAAGGGCGGGTTGGTTCAGGTGGCGTGGTGGGTTGGTATCATGGGGTTCGGTATTTGGGTATGGGTGAGTTTTTGAAGAGGTTTGAGGAGGGTGGGGATGGTGCGGATGGGGATGGTGCGGATGGTGAGAAGTCATCTGACGAGGAAGGAAAGGAGGAGGAGGGAAAAGAAAAGAAGGAGCTGGATGATGAGCAAAAGGAAATTGGGGAGGGGAAGGAGGGAAAGAACGAGGTGGGAAACGGGGGAAGGAACGATGGGGAGGAGGAAGGAACTGGAAATCAGGAGAAGGGGAAAGCGGAGCAGGAGGGGCAGAAGGAGGAAGAGGATTACGTTCTTGTCAAAGTCCCAGGGGAAGAACCCGATTCGGATGATGAGATTTGGTGCTTGCTTGAAGATAGTGAGGAAGAGAAGGGCAGCAAGAGTGACACTGAGGGCAAGGAAGACAAAAAAAGCGAGGAGGACAAGGAGGACAGCAAGAACACTGATGACAACAAGGACAGCGCTGAGAGACACGGCGACGGCTACAGCAGTAACAGCGACAACGAAGACGACGACGATCACGGTTCTGATAATGACGAGTGGCACGACTGCCCTCTTTGCCACCCACACCTCAATAGAACAAACACCTCAACCACTACCACTCCGACTTTCCGGCCACAGTTTCGGCCAAAGTTTCGGCCGACGTTCCAGCCAACTATCTGGCAACAACGACAACCACAACTACGATCCCAACCACATCTGCAGTCACAACCACAACTCCAAGACCAAGAACAACAAATTCTCCACATAAGCCCACACGTCGACATCTTCCAAACCTCTCCCGCATCCTACACCATCCAACTCGCCATTCCCGGCTTCAAGCGGCGGGACGTCAGCATTGCTTATGATTCCAATGTGAACGTGTTGACCGTCAGCGGGGTTTTATATCGGCCTGTCTATCCTACTGAGGATTCGGATTCGAATTCGGATTCATCATCATCTTCTTCTTCTTCTCTTGATTCTGATTCCCATTCCGGTTCTGAACGCGGGACACAGACAGGTGAAGATGGACGTGGTAGTCCAAATCGCGCCTCTAGTACTGGCCAGGCTTCGAACCAGCCCTCACCAAACCAGGCCTCAGCAAATCGGGCGGCCTCATCCTCATTTCGGGAGTCAAGATCCGACTTCGAAGCAGACCTGGAGTTGTGGTTAGCTTACGAGCGCAAGTCAAGATTGGGGGGTACCTCTGAGAGTGTCGGACTCATCAGACTCAAAAAACTCAATTCTATCTGAACGTGAAGGTAAGAAGGAAAAGCACGAGAAAGAAGATGACGGGGACAGGGATAAGGATGAGAATGACGACGGCTACATAATTACCACCACCACCACTGGGACTGACGCTAATATCAACCATTCTCCGGACCTGGCTGCAGAAGAGGGAAGAATTCCCATCGGAAGGTTCTCAAAGAAAATTTACTTCGTTGTCTACGCATCAACACCTTCATCACCTCTTTCGTCTACATCTGGGGAACAGAAGAAGGTCAGGCGAGTGGACTACGAGCGGCTAAAGGCGAAGTTGGAGGACGGGATCTTGACTGTTGCTGTCCCGCTTGTTGTTGATGAGGGTGAGATGGAGAACGAGAGGACGGGAAGACAGGAATAAAGTGTCTGTGAGTGAGGTGGTGCTTTGGGTGTTGGTGAATGTGGTTTCAAGTACGTCGTAAGAGAGATGGGATAGCGGTGCCCATGGAGAAGGGCTGGATGGTTAGTGTAGGAAGATTGCTGTTGATAATAGTTCTAGTGGTCAAGTAAAAGGGGTGTTTCCACGATGGAGGGATGAGAATAGGATTAAGAGAAACTTACGTCTCGCTTTGTACGTGACAGTGATGGGCATCACACTGGTAAGGCATAACGCATTAGACTACTCGAAGACACAACGTGGCCCTTGACATTTCAGAACTGTATCTCAGACGACAAAGGGGGTTTAGACTGTTTGGTTGACAAATTACTATATAATAGATATCGCTGAAGCTTCATCCCACATTCTTAAACTCCGCAGCTAAACTACCAGCCTCAAATCCTGCTATATTTCATTTCATTACATCGAGCAGACCACCCGTCTCTCACAGCCCAGCGAGCACACCCTGAATACCAGGAGTAGCGGCATCCTCTCTCTTCTGCACAAAGGCCTTGAAATCCGCCTTTTGCAACTTCTTGCCCGACCCACCACCGCCCGCTGCACCTCCGACGGCACCGTTACCACCACCTCCACCAGCACCGCTACCCGTAGACAAAAACTTGGATCGCTCGCGAAGGGCTTCGGGTCCAATAATGAACAGATAGCCAACCTCGGTAAGCAGCTCGACAATAGCTTGCACCTCCTTGGTCAAGGGCCACTCCTTCATCGTCGACACATACTTGGCGATATCCTTGGTCACCATCAAGCCACCGGTAGCGTTGACCGAGAACTTCTTGAAGTGCTCAAACAGGAGCGAGTGAACGGCCAGAGCAAGCTCTGAGCTGAACAGCTCGAGGTTGTGACCGTCGATAGCCAGCGCCGCCTGCATCGCCACCTTGGAAGCCAAGAAGGTGCAGATGGCCTGGCATGTGGGCGTCTGAAGGTCGACGAAGCCTTCGAGGTCGTTGTCGCGGGGCCGGTAATCCGTCTTTTTCTGGCCCGCCAGGATTTTGGCGACCCAGTTGACGGCCACGTCCATGGTGCTCTTGAGGACGGCGTTGGTCTTCCGCTCCGTGGCTTCGATGGCTTGCTTGGCTTGGGCCTCCATGCTGCGGCGCAAGGCCGTGTTGGACTCGGCAAGCCGGATCAGCACCGTAGTGATGAAGCGCGACATGAGGTTTGTGATGGTGACGGCCGGCTTGATGTGAGGGAGGTAGGAGAGGTCAGGTTCCGTCTTGATGCTCTCCTGCGACGTGGCCATGTCCAGGGCGGCATCGAGGGCAGTCTCAACGTAGAGGTGGCCCATGCTGGTGAGAAGGAGGTTGAGCAAGACGTTGATGTCCTTGGGGGTTTCGCTTCCTGAACCCATCTCGAGCGTTCTACGCACGCTTTCGGCCAACCAGGCAATCATGCGCTTGGCGTTCTGTACGCTCAGGCGGCCGTGTTCCTCTGAGACTTCGATCTCGTTCTTGTTGCTGCTGTTATCTTGCAGACCGGCAACCCTCAACATCATACGCTTCTGGGTGGGCGTGAGGTCCGAAGAATCAAGACGCTCCATGTAGGCGTCTTTAGCGGATGCCAAAAGCTGGGTGCCCGATTGAGTGATCGCAGCCATAAAGCCGGACGGAGCCTTCTTCCTGCGTGAATGGTACAGGGTGAACTTGAAGAGCAATGAGTTGTATAATTCCTCCAGACTCTTCCTTTCCCTGTCGATATATGAGTTTTGAAGTAAATAGGGGATGAATAATTCCTCTAGTTGCTGATCAAGCGTTTGTGATATCTGCGCCGAGCAAGGTTCTGGGTGCTCTGTGAGACCATGAGTCTTGAGATCTTCAACCAAGGCACCAATGTAGGATCTTGACGCATGCAAGGAGCGCAGGTAGGCCAGTGAAGAAATTGTTGTCGCTTTGTCCAGGAGCATTTCCAGTCGTTGCTGGATAGACTGCTGGAAGACACGCTGGATAAACTTGATGAGCACTGTCTCGTAGTATGGGAAGGCACGCTTAATGATAAAAGACTCCTCCTGCATCACGATCTTGACCTCATCAACGAGGGATTGAAGACTGGGCTCGACACCTGGTGGGTCGGAATCAGGGTCAGCCAGTTGCTCCCACATCTCGCCATCGGTCGTAACCTCGTCGGTGATGAGCTGGTCTCGGTCGATAAAGAACTGGTGCTGGTTCACAAAGGCGGCAATAACGCTGGCACCGCCGTGAAAATCGTAGAGGACCTTTGCGCATTCCATCATGTCGTCGAAGTTTTGCCGTCGGTAACTGTTGTTGAACTGCTTCAGAAGGTCTTGCTCGAGATGCTCGCAGAACTTCTCGAGAGCTTCCCTGGTGTTGTGCTTCCGCGTCGCACCCGTAGTGCCGTTGGTGATACCGTTGGCACGGAATCCACCTGTTGCCCATGACAAAGGGTCTAGTCTTTGACTGATGCGCATGAGCTGGCGAGCAATGACGGCGCAACGAACCTTGTTCTCGGCACCGCCCTGTCTCTGAATCTCCTCGAGCGAGGTAAGTTGGCCTGTCTCGGAAACCTCTGTCCAGCACTGAATCAGGAAGTTGGCGTCCTGCGCCTTCCTCCGTTTCCTATCCAGCTCCTCCAGTTTCTCTCCGATCTGGACAGCAATGTTTCCTCCGCCATCAGATCGGGCGTGTCCGTTCATGGAGCCGCTGTGTGTGCTGGGGTTGTTGAGGGTCAAGTCGAGGGCCTCGAACTGGGCCATGGACTGGTCCAGCTTCCGACCAAGGGTGTCGAGAGTCTGGTCATGTTGGATCTCTGCTCGTCGAACCTGCGATAAGAGCTCCGATTCCTTTTCTTGCAGCTCCTCGCTCAGGGCGCCCAGCTGCGACAGCGCATTCTCGAAGGTCCGGATGAGGGGCTTGGGATCAAAGGGGGTGCTCGCGCTCGCTAGGCCGGAGCGGCGGTTGGCGGGGAAGGCAGTATCGGAGAGGGAGTCGACAAAGTCGCGGACAATAAAGTCTTTGCTGGAGAAATCGTCGATGTTGAAGCTGGGGCCCTTGGGGAAGAGCCCAGGGCCGGGGGACCTCGTGCGGCCGGGTCCGCCGCGTTCCATGGCGGCGTGTGTCACCTGGCAGGCAGACCGAGAGAGCGCATCAAGTTGGGTTTGGGATTAGGGTAGGAAACGTTGCGATTATCGAGAGCCAAATTTATCGAAGTTGTATTGGTTGTCAGTGTAATCATAAGTGCATTCGCGATGCTGCTGGTGTTGTTGTATCAACCCATGCCGTGGAGTTGAAGGTATTCACAACGTCGAAGGTTGGCTGGTCACCGTCAGGCCTGGGGTTGGAGGTGTAGTGGGTGTCCAGGGGCTGTACGGGGCAGTTCCAGAGGGGTGTCGCGAGGATATCCTTCCCCTGTCGCGTACCTTTGTGGGCACGGGTTGGGGAATTGAACCCACCACGCCGACGTACATATCCATTTGTTGAATATGCCCCACTTAATTTTGGCCCAACTTCAGTCTGGTCCCTACGCTTTCATCAGCCACAGTTGCAACATTGTAAGGACAGGTTTTTGGTGGGGAGCAGAGGGGAACTTTCAGATGTTCTTTCCCGAAATAATCTGACATCAGACAGGGATCTCGTGGCCGTTCCGAGGGAAGCTGCCCAGTGGTCTTCTTGGGATGATTTCCCGCTACGACGACGGTGCTACGGTAGCTACTGGGTATGATAGCTGTAAGTAATCAGCAGTTTATGGAACCATCAGCAGCCTGCACTTCATCCGTTAGAACTTCCAACTGGCTCCATTCTTTTCTTGCCGGTCTCTTCCTTCTGTTCTCCCGTTTTCTGCGCAACTTTGACCTTCGGTGGAAAGATAGACTCTGAACCGCACTTATCATTGTCTCTTCAACGCTCCTTCTTTTTTATCGGCCGTATATCCTGCAGTTATCCCGAGACCCGCTGTCGTCCGAACATTCATCCCGTCATACCGTACAGATCGCGACAAGTCGTCCGACCGAGGTGTGACGAGGCCCATTGGAACAACCGTTGCGCGACAGCCTCCACTTCAACATGTTTAAACCACGAGAAATCGAGGCCTACCGGCGCGATGAGAAACTCGGTCACAAATTGCTTACCCCCGAAGAGAGGATTAGGCTGCTCAAGGTACGATTGCTCCCGCCCTGTGCGTCATGTTTTAAGAGAGCTGACTGCTAACCCTTTGGATAGCCCTATCTGCCTTCGCCCCCATTGCACCCCTCCGAGCAAGCCAACAAACGAGCAATGGAAAACGAACAGAGATGGGGAGTACGGCGCTTTCTAAAGAGACACTGGCACCTACTGGTCTTCACCATCGTACATGCCATATTCTCGCTCTACATCCGAATCCGCCAAGCATACCACCAATTGGGCAACAAAATCTCCTCCGTATATCGCCATCATCACCGGGCGCCCGATCTGATTTACAACGATGTCAAGGACCTCCGAAGGCTGCCAAAACACCTGAGTGTCATCTTGACCTTGGACGAGGACGCTAGGGGCGGTACCGGCTTGGCCAAGCTGATCGAGGAGGCTTCGGATATTGCTGCTTGGTGCGCTAGTGCCCGTATTCCCCAGCTATCCATTTATGAGAAGACCGGTACGTGGATCCCAACCTGGGGTGCTATCCCAACTCCAAATCTAGGAAAGAAGAGACTAATGATATTCTCCCACGTAGGAACATTGAAGGGTTATCTTCCTCGCGTCCACAGGTCCATGACACAAAAGCTTGCCGCATACTTCGGACCGAACACTCCTGGCATTGGGATTAGAGCACCTCACTGCCCTTCGATCGAGACGGCCCCAACTCTTGCCGCAAGCCGTATCGAGAATGATGGCCTCAAGCACCTCTCAGTCATGATTCTGTCAGCCGAGGATGGCCGCGACTCTATTGTTGATCTTACCAAAACCCTCGCTGATATGTCCCAGCGGGGTAAGATCTCGACTTCGGATATCACAATCGAGCTAGTCGATGCGGAGTTGAGCGAGAGTGTCATGGGCGAACCGGACCTCCTTCTGTTGTTTGGTCCCCGTGTTGAACTGGTTGGCTATCCTCCATGGCAAGTGCGCTTGACCGAGATCTCTCATGTCCAAGACAACGAGGGGGTCAATTATCAGGTCTTCTATCGGGGTCTTTTGAAGTATGCCGGCGCACAAATGCGCTGGGGAAGGTAGAACCGAGCGGTGCCAAGTCGTCAGTGGCGGGAACCCGAAGGCGATCGAGTTTATCGGGTGACGCAGTGGTTGGATTCGATTGATGGTTAACATATGCTATTTGATTATAGACTTAGGACTATGTAAGCGTACGAGCGGGGGTATTCATCAGTTCATGCCTGTTCGATGGGTGCATTGGAAGTTGTGTTTAACTGAAAATTATTATCTGCTACTCGGGTGAAGATATTCATGATTGAGCTCGGGACAGGAGAGATCTGGGAAAGGAAACCAATCACCTGGAAATGATTCACGACCCGGGCTGACTGACATCAGAAGAGACAGTATTAGAATCTCATAAGTACACTAAAGAGATCCAAAGGTCAATCCAAAAGAACAGGATTGAAATGGTCGGGCCAGCACATGTGCCTGTGTCAGCCACTCATGACGTTACGCTACGATACAGCCTTGTGCTAAAGAGCTGAGATAAGAAAATTCAGCCACATCTTAGTGGGGCTCTCAGTTTACTGTGGTTTAGCCTTGCAGTTGCCGCGTAACAAAGTTTCACATCATTCGCCGAAATTCGTATTTTATAGAAGGTGAGTCGAGCTTCCAGAGTCACAGGACACTCCACCATTTCGTTGAAGACAGTAGTGCATCAGGTGGGTTATACCAGTTCAACTGACCATGTCTCAATCAGAAAAGGTAAACAAGGGGAGTGGGGAAGGGAAAACTCAAGATATGGCCATTTTCAGCCCACCCGTAGTTCGTTCAGGCGCTGGCGCCCTCAACCGGGCTCTGTTCACAAAGACTGTCAACTTGGCCGCCGCCGCCGTCAACGATAACCGTCTTATTTCCAAGTAAAAGAGCTTGAGCACAGCAAGGAGCTCCTGCGCCAGGAAAGACTGTCTCCTATTGTGAACCACCCAGACAAGACCCTTGCCGACCAAGGAAAGAAGTGTCTGCTTCTTAGCCCCAGCGTCAAGGCACCAGGTTAGAAAAAAAAGGTCATTGCCAATAGAAACAAATTTCGAAGACTAATTCTGTGTCTTCTTTCCTTCCAGAACCAGACACATGGGGAACTGCTCTCAAGGAAGGTGTTGAGAAGAAGGAATTGGATGTCATTCCTTATGAGCTTAAGCTTGACTATGACTACTGGTCATATCGTATGAAACCTGAATTTAATCCCCAGCTTATACCAGTCACCTTACTAACGTTCACAATAGACGATATTATCACATCTATTCTCCCAGAGGAACTCCATGATGATATCCCCTCCGGCTTCAACACCGCCGGTCATGTCGGTAAGTGAAAGTGGACACCTCCTTGCAGTCTGCTCAGCTTGTTCTAACATGAGATCCAGCCCACATGAACTTGCGGGAGCGTTATATTCCCTACAAGAAGGTGATCGCCGAGCTCATCCTGGACAAGACCCAAAACATCCGCACCGTCATCAACAAGGTCGACAACGTCGGAGCCGAGTCCGAGTTCAGAACCTTCCAGTACGAGGTCCTGGCTGGTCCCGATGACATGCAGGTCCAGGTTACCGAGAACAACTGCGTCTTCGAGTTTGATTACGCAAAGGTGTACTGGAACAGTAAGCTGGAGGCCGAGCACCGCAGGCTTATCAACATGTTTGAGCCCGGCGAGGTCGTCTGCGATGTCATGGCTGGCATCGGCCCCTTTGCGGTTCCTGCTGGCAAGAAGGGCGTCTTTGTCTGGGCTAACGACATGAACCCCGAGAGCAACAAGTATATGCAGGTAGCTATCAACAGGAACAAGGTATGATGGACTCTTTTTTCCATACCCACCTATCCTCCTTTTGGTTTCTTTCGGATCTAACCCAGCATACATACATGCAGGTCTCCCAATACGTCCGCCCCTTCTGCCAAGACGGCCGGACCTTCATCCACCACGCCGCCGACTCCGTTCTCGAAGCCCACAAGGCCAGCGAGCACGTCCTGATCGCCCCCAAGCCTCCCTCGCGCGCCAAGAAGGCGCCCAAGCCCGAGCCCAAGCGCGTCGACATCCCGCCCACCATCTCGCACTTTGTCATGAACCTGCCCGCCACCGCCATCGAGTTCCTCGGCTGCTACCGCGGCGTGTACGCCGGCCACGAAGACCTTTTTGAAGGTGGCAAGCTGATGCCCATGGTGCACGTCCACTGCTTCTCCTTCAAGGCCGATGACGAGACGCCCCGCAACGACATCTGTGAGCGCATCACCAAGTATCTTGGGTTCAAGGTCAAGCCGGGTAACCCCGACGTGGAGGGCGAGGTGGCGGTCCATGATGTTAGGGATGTCGCGCCGGCGAAGAGGATGTTTTGCGCTAGCTTCAGGATTCCGAGGGAGGCTGCTTTTGCTAAGAGGGATTAAGGTATCAAAGGGGCGTCTGTTTGATGGGCGACGACGACGCATGGCATTCATCAATTCGATTCGCTCTCCTCAAGTCGGTGATCTCGGACTAGCTAGGAAAGGGTGGATGGGTTCCTTTTCTCGAATACTAGGTACCGAGACGCTTGGAAGATGTTCTTCTTGTTCATCGACGGAGGACCTTGTGGCATCTACGTCTACTGGTCACCTACAGCAGTTTCGTGTCTATGTATCCTGTGACTACGCTGTAAGCTGCTTATGAAAGGGAACAAAGTTCAGGAGACGCGAGTCGAGTCATTTGAGGACCAGGGGAAAGTCGATACAAAGCTTTATAGCTAATGAAGTGAAGCTAGCGGCTCATCCCGCTGCCTCGCCGTTCTCCAGAAGTCGTCCTTGTTTCGGTTTGCTTAGTAGTCTCTCCGCCCCATCCCGGTCTCGTCAGAAAAGGCCCGGGCTCTTGACTTGTGACAGTGATATGTAATGATGTGATCGATGGGCACACTCTTGGTGTGTCGTTTGAACGAATAGAACCACCCGCTAGTATCATCTCCACCTCAACTTTGCTCCGACGGTACTGGATGGAGGAAGGGAAAGCTTGATGAACGATAGACAGGTACAGGATTTGGGATCCTTGTTTCCCGCCTGGTTGCTGGCTTTTCGTGTTTTCTTTTTCTTTTTTTCTTCGGGGTTAGACCATCGCACTTGCCTACTTATGATTCGTTTCTTTTTCCCGTTTTTGAAGTCGTCATTGACAAGTAGTCGTTAGCCGTTCCTACCTTAGGAAGACCCATTCTTCTTCTACCTGTGAGCCTCCTTCTCCCTATCAGTCGGTCAACATCTCCGGTTAACGGTGAGACACGAATTTCCAATTTTGAACCTATTCAAGGATTCCACTCGTCTTCTTTTGCCTTCTTCTGCATGACCGTCGAGGGATCTGGTTTTTTTTATGTTGGCTTTGTCTCCGAGTAGTCTACCAAATGAACCTGTTTGGCCATGCCACGAAGTCGAACGGCGTCGCTTGGCGGTTTAGCTTTCCCTTTTCCATCCCGCCATCCACATCGGTACTTGGGTCAACTGGTTACCCATGTTAATGCAGTATCGTCCTGTTTCACGAGTGCTTAGACAAGGAAGGAGTTGGGGAGGCTGGGCTGCAAGAGAATTTTTTTGGAATTCTTTTTTCACTCTCCTTGGTGGCTTGAAGACTTGGGTGTCGGTTGTTGCCTCCTCTTTTTGTTGAGTGGGTGCAGGATGTGGTGAAGTCGTTGACGATACGAAAAGCCGAGCCAGGGAAGGAACCACTCAAACCAAAGTTACATTGACCTAAAAGTCAAGGCCCGGTGGCTTTCACCCATCCAGAACGTGTCCTAAAAACTTCCACTAATGCACTGCCGGAGGAGCCTCCTTCCCCTGCTGTTGGCAACCTTCAGTTCTTTCCGAGACGTCCTCGACATGTGTGGACGAACTCACTTTGCCGATCAGTTGCAACTGAAAATATAGGGCAGGTGCAAACGAAAGCAGGCAAGCATTGACCAATAAGTGACCTGAATTGAAAAGTGAGACTTGGATTACGTTCTGAACCGCTACTTCCGCGTTGGAAATTGACCTGACTAGGTCTTACAGTACGAATACTAGCGTTGTGAATGCTCAGTCATCACAACTGGACTCGAGAAACTCAATGCCGCCTTCATGCCCAATAGGTACGTGATCCAAATCAATGACATGTCACCCTGTGGTCATCATGCCTTTGGGATTCTACATTATGTAAGATTTATAGAACACTTACTTTTATTCTACTCGAGCCTCAACTTGTTTGCCGTTCTGATTCGAGAGCATGTACGACACCCAGCGGATTCAACCTCCGTCCGAACCGACGGGTGAGCCCGCGTGTCGTTGAACTATGTTTATGTGTTCCTCGAAAGGCGTCTAGGTGTGTAGTTGATTTTTGTGTTCCTGTGCGCATCGGCCCGAGGGTTGGTGGGAAAGAAACATACCATTACCGTACTTGAAGCTATAGCAAGTAAGTCTGGATTGGATAGGGGACGGACATCTCGATTGATTAACGAGGCGGGGTGGGGGTCGTCGTTCAAGATTGTGGGTGAAGAGGTTCGAGCTTTCTTGGTACCGTAGATAGATGGGCGGTCACCTATGTGGTGTCGATGAAGCGGGTGGTGGTGGTGTGGTGGTGGTCGTAGAGATTTAGATAGCTTGCATGTCTCGGTCAACGCATGGCGTTTCCGCCAGTGCTACTCTACTTACACATAGGTATATTGCAGTGTGTGGAGTACACTCCCTCGGCGTGTGCGCAGATACCACTCAGAGATGATGTTTCTAGCCATGTAATGGTGTTGTTGTGCTTCGTGAGACGTCGGAAATTCCTTGTTACGTTGGTGTGATGGGAATTTGATGGATTTGTCGATATGCAGGACCGGTAAAGGTCAACGTCTTACCGCGGAGTTGACTGCTTATGGTTGATGAATTACATACTAGTTTGGGATCCAAGAAGGTGTGCGGTGCGTGGGGTCAACGAACGGTTCTCGAATCATGGGTTACACGGAAGCTATAGCTCTTCAACGTCGAGATGTCTAAGACTTGCGGGCTGGCTAGCTTGTTCGGTTGAAGAAGACAGTACTTTTGTAACGCATGCTTGGTCAATGAATGCTTGTAGCAATTCACGTTCGATATTCTCCTTCCGTCTTTGTCATCGTCGTCGTCGTGAGCTCTTCTCGCTTATCAAGAGCTCTTTCTCAACGTCCGTGATGTTCAACAATCCTTGCGACAATCATAGAAGGATGGAAGGATGGACAGCTCCCCCAATATTTACCGACCAATAGCAATCCGAAGAGAAGGCCAAAAGAGGATATGTGCGCGAGTGAATGGAAGTCAAGGTAAGGAAAGAAGAGGGGAGTTGCTAGCTAGACAAGATCTCTGATAGGTCCGGAGGGAATCTCCCTTCTCTTAGGATGTCACATTCGAGACTTTTGAATAATATTCAGCCCAGGACAATAGGAGGGTAGGAACCGATGGAACGAGACTCCCCCGGAAATGCAGCCAACGGTCGATGAGGCAGGTACATCGTGGTTGATGGATGGCAGGGCGTAGTGGTATACTACCTAGGATGGACACATCCGCGGACCGAGTTCGCATACCCGCATGTCTTTGTGCTTCGTTGAAGCCAGTTATCTAACAGTGTACTGCATGTACAGTCGTTCGTGGAGGGTACGGAGAAGTATCACATATCACATTGCATGCAATAATAGGAAAAAAGGGACCATGTATGTACTGACAAGGAAGGAATGAGGGAACGTTGGCTAGATGCAACGGGATACCAACTTGGTGGCAGGGTAACGACCCGAGTGCGGCGATTAGGGACGGACGGGTAGGAGTTCCCCAACTTGCTGTGGATGTCTCGAAAGACCGGTAAGACGTCGAATGTTGACCGGGGGCGGGGGAACGAACGGACGGTAAAGGCAAAGCAAGATAAGGCAAGGGAAAAATGAAAACCTGAGGCAACCCGTTTCCCCCTTTGCTTGACAACGTTCCAGAAGGACAACAAAGAATTGAAACTGCTGATAAGGGAACAAGGGGTCCAGTACCCTTCTGCCTCTTCCCGGTATCTTTTCCGATCTCATCTGTCAATGTTCCCTTGCTTCCCAGTGTCCTGCTTCCGTCCCGCTGGTGGTCATCAAGTCCTCTTCCGGGATGGGAACAATGAACGGCTCTGGGCAGATTGTCGCGTCCATAAAGTCTTATCGGACCTAAGCATCTCTTAAAGGGTGCGAGGATGATTGGCCAGTCACCGATATCCAATCGCTTGAGACTGGGACTGAGTGCAGGAAGTCAACACAACCAGTGGCCATAGTCGAGACTAACGTAAAGTGGTTTAACGTCTGGAATCGAACTTCAAGATAAGGAGCAATTCACCGGCCAGATGAGGCCTCGACTCCCCCTTCCGATAGCGAGGTACTCATGTACCAATGACAGAGATAGAGCTAGGTCATTGCACCACCTACACCTTGTGAGGTTCACTGTACGTCAAACGCGTGGCTGGGAGAATATCAAAGATGTACTCACCAGAGAGAGGTAGGTAGATAGTAGGTACTCAGAGCCGCAGTTCTCGTAAAACGAGACAAGCCTATGAGCACCTCTCTTGTATACCCGCTTAGCGGTACTTCAGACCTGCAAGAAAAGATAGGCAGGATGAAAGGACCCGTCTGTGATGACATGAGTGAAGATACTGAACTACATGGAGGATGTACAGGAACCTAATCAAAGGAAAACGTTGAAACCTTACCCATTACCTCAAACCAAACTTTAACCTCAGGGTAGTGGTCAATCATCGCTCGCCCAATCTGTACGACAATACGCAGTAGATCGCCGGACTCCATTATTTCCTCTGAGCCGTCAATTCGGAGGAAAAGACATCGTCATGGTCAGTCCGTAGTAGCACCGTGTTGATATCTTGATAGCAAACCCCTACGTAGGAGTTAGAACGTCAGACCCATTATTGGTTTAGACCTTCAAACAGGCACGGTAAATGGGGTGATGTCGTCAGAGGTCCCGACCAGTCGGGTCCCCGTGCTGTCATCCCATGTCTGGTCAACCATCGGATCGACTCAGTTCGTCCGAGCTATGAGCCGACTTGCCAGTGGTCGCCTTGTTTACTCCACGACGTCCTTCATTAACGGTGACTTGGCAGTCGGTTGAGGTAAATGTAGGTATATCATTGCCAGATCCCGTCATTGTAGTCTTGGGATTCGAGATTTCGATTTACCCTCTGACGACATCGGGTTTGCTCTGCTGCTTTGTTTGGTCGTTGATCGGTAACAGCAATCCCTAAATGGCAAGTAGTTTTGATCGCCATTATCAACCCTCCATTCCGGCCCTCAGTGGTTGTTGATCTGGGATTATCTGAAACTCCACTTGAGGTTGCTACCCTAGTTGGAACAGGAGGGGTCTACCTACTGGAGCTCGTGGAGGTTGCCTTGTTGATCTATACCTCGTAG